ATGTAGATAGTCTTTTTTTTTCTCTTTTTGTGGTAAAAACCAAAAATGGATAAAACAAAATTTTAAGATAAGCATTTTGTTGAAACTAGGATCTTCCTGTACATCATTGTTGAGATAAGGGACTGTTTCCCTCCTTTTGGGAAATACAGCACCTAATCCAGCAAAAACTTCCCTAAAGACACTGAAGTCTTGAACTTCAGAATAAAGACGATTGTGTCAATTTTTTTTTAAATTTTTTTCTCAAACAAAGTGTACAACACTGAAGTCAAAGTTTCAGATTGAAATTTTTTCTTTAACAAAAAGTATCAATTTGTCATCACTGGTTTTTTCATATTTTTATCTTTCATGTTTTTGAATATGTGCGTTTTGAAAATGCTTATATCTTGATAAAAGAGTTTATTTGAATTGTGCTATTGTGAAGAATAACTTTATTGTGATTTTTAAACAAAGGACTTTGAATTGATAAAACTGAAGTCACAAAAACTATTAAAAATGAAAATCAAACTCTTAAGTTTGCTGGTAGCACTACTACAAATTTTTTTTCTTCTAACACTTTAATTATGTTATTATTTTTAACATGTGTACAACTGTGCATTTTTTGTAAGTTATATTACTTTATAGCTTGTCAAAATTACAAATTTGATTATTTTTATTTTAATTGTACTTCTATCATTGGAACAGTTTTGCCAAAGGATAATTTTTAAAATTTTTAGACATTAGTTAAAATTCTTCGGTGAGGGGGGTATGTAACATGAAAATCTTCAATTAATATTTTTATGTTATTTCTTTTCTGTAAATCCTTTCCTTAATTTATTATTCTAATCGAAACACTTTCTCACACTTTTAAATTCACATCCTGTCCTTAAATCTATTTTTGGATCAAGCATGCATTAATTAAAAGTGAGACATTTTCCCCTTTACTCTTTGTGGGAATTACGCGACCTATTTAATAAACTAATTGTAATTACTAAGATTTTCCTATTTCCCGAAATAGACACATATTACGGATTTTCTTTGCAAGATTTTCCCTAAAGGTGTCTACACACCGAACGCAACAGCGATGCGAAACACGATTTTTCTCCTCTGTTGCAGTGTGTCTTTTGCAAGAGATTGCAAGTACCTTCACACCGCATGCGACAACAAACCTGTTTCCTGGCTAGCGTATGCGCACTTTTCTTCTGTATCTAGTTTTTGTTTCATAGCTCATTTTATCGTTATTTTTTGTATTTATAAAATTATTTTATATATTTATATTACTTTTCATACTTATATTTCTTTTAAATATATATATTACTTTATGATTTCAGTACAAGATTCTTCATAAATTGCCGAAATAAACTTAGCGTCACATTTTTACAAATATTGTATCAATAATTTGTACAAAATTATTTATTTATTTTTTATAATTTTTGTCTTCTAATTTTGTCCACTAACTTTTAATACTTAACTAATCTTTTTATGGAGAACAAATTTATTTTTTCTGTATAATTTTTTCCGGCTATAACACGTATTTTTATTTTGTTAAATAAACTAAATTTCTGGAATATTAAATAATTCAAATGAAAAAAGTTAGGGAAAATGAAAAGCAGAAATTATTTTATTATCAAAAGTCTTGTTTGGAAAAGTATTTTTTTTCACAGCATTGTTGTGAACAATATTTTGAATATTACAAATGTATCAAGTTTGCAACTTAACATTTTATATAGAAGTGATAAAAAGGATATTCTTTCCATATGCAAATGTTTCAATAGAGTTTTTCCTAACATTCTCAAGTTGCTAGCAATTTATGAGATTAATATTTTAATTTAAGGAGTTTCCGAGTGGAGTCACTTGCGCAACAATTTAAAATGGACACCTTTTATTATTTAATGACCCTTTGTAATATGATCATGAGATACTACTTTATGAAAAGTACAAAAATGTGTGTGTGTTTTTCTTTTTTCATTTATGTTCTACTTTTACATAAAATTACATTTTCCAAAAATCGCAGCATAAAAAAGGATTATATCACGCTTTAATTATGCTACATTTCTTTTTCCTGCTGAATGGTACTGTCGCATTAAGCCAGGCATAGTCAGTCTGACAAAACCACTGGTAGCCATATTTTATTACACTCCAAATAAAAATTCCTGGAAGATTGGTTACGGTACCTCAACTAACAACGATAGACGCATGAAGCCTATAGCATAACAAATTTAATAAAAATTTTATTAGTAATTTCTGTTCTTGAATCTGGCCCGTTCACTTAATTGGCGAAAAATTCCAAATATCTTCCTTGTCTTCCTTGATTTTTTAAACTCCCGAAAGTTTCTCAGAGGAATAAAGGAATAAAATCAAATTATTATTTTTGTTTCTAAGAAAATATTTAAGTAGGAAAAAAGGCGTTTTTTATCATTTCTATATATACCTAATTTTATCCGATAATGATGAACAATACCGAGTCTTAGCATGCTTCCATAGAANCGTCTTTTATATATATATATACAGTCCAGTCACATTAATGTGACCACCACCTACCTTCGACGTCAACGTGAAATAACCATTCACAGAAGGCACGTGGCAGCATATTACAGTAGAGTGTATATAAAGGATGTCCTATGGCATCGGAAAGCATTTCAGGCGTTGGCATAATGCAAAAACGTAGCGATTTATTCGACGTCCAAAAGGGCATGATTATTGGCTTTCGGGCCAGGTGTGGATGCATTTTGGAAACGGCTAATTTTGTGAACTGTTCGCATGCCACCGTGGTGAAAGTATACCGTGCATGGTAAAATGGCACTATCCAAAATCAGCGGCTTGGCACATGCGGTGCACCATGGGATCATTTGAAAGAGCTGACAAGAACCGGATAAGAACAGCACGGACTCGGACTATCGAAGATAATGTGTTGCAGCTGGTGCAGGAGATGCCAAATGAGAGTACTCGAAGTCTGGCGCACGAACTCAGGGTTTCCCGTTCAAGCGTTTGGAGAATTCTGCGAGATCACAACATGCATCCGTTTCACGTGCAGCGTGTCCAGGCACTGCAACCGGATGATTATGCACCTCGTATTGCTTTCGCACAGTGGTACCTTGGAAAGTGTGCTACAGATCCCCTTTTCCCTGCTAAAGTTTTGTTTTCCGATGAGGCATCCTTCACAAGGGAAGGAATTTTCAACACGCATAACTCCCATATCTGGGCGGAGCAGAACCCACATGCAATACGACATCGTGCAGCACAGACTCGACTTTCAGTCAATGGCCGGTGTTATACGGATTTTGGGCCGGTGCTATAGGAGATCACCTCATCGGGCCTTACCTGTTACCGTTTCGTCTAACCGGACGTAACTACTTGATCTTTCTGCAGCAAGTATTGCCCCAACTTTTGGGAGACGAACAGATTTCTGCATCGACACAACAGACAATGTGGTTCCAACACGATGGAGCCCCTGCCCACTTCAGCGGAAATGTTCGTAACTACCTAGATGTCACATTTGGGCAACAGTGGATCGGACGTGGCGGTCCAGTGCATTGGCCTCCTCGGTCACCCGACCTATCATGTCTTGATTTTTATTTCTGGGGTCATATGAAAACACTGGTTCATGACACCCCTGTTTACAATGCTGAGGAGCTGGTTGCAAGAATCGCAGTAGCTGCCAGGGAAATTCGAGATATGCCTGGAGTATTGCAGAATGTTCGGATGTCCATGCACCGGAGATGTGAGGTGTGCATTGTAGTCGGTGGCAGAAACTTCGAACACTTAGTTTAACCCATGTGCCTTATGCTTTTTTCAATGTATTATTAAAACGATTTTTCACTTACGGTCTCTTTTCTTTATGGTGCTTCTGTGTACGTCACCGCTTCAGGAAAGCATTTCCGACCCCACATTGCTATATGATTTCGAGTCGTCAGGATGCCCCCTACCCCTCTTAGAAGTTCTGAAACGCTTAACTGAGACACCCTGTATACATATATATATATAGTTAAATTAATAGTTAATCATAAGTTACTGCGGAACCCATGGGATTGTACATTTGTGACAACCTCTCCCCCTAAATAGTTTATGATCATGTCACCTGTTGTGGTGGTGTGTTTCTTTTAACAATATATCTGATTATGTTTGAAAATTTTAGGTAGTTATTTGGTGAATATTTAGGCCTTCATATATATACGGAGAACACAAGAAATTTTCAGAAATTTTTCAAAGAGTCGAGACTTCAGAAATTTGCGATTTTGACAGAATTTAAGATTCGAAGACATTTCCGCTGATTTGTATATTTGTATAATATATGTAAATAAACCCCCTTGCGCACCGCCTAATCCGTCTATGATTACGTCGCTTGTGATGGTGGTGGGGTTCTATTTAACAATATATCTGCCTAGTTAAAAATTTATAAGTTATTATTAAAGGAATATATAGGCCATGTCGGTAAATGGGGTATATTGGCAGCAATTTTCAAATTCTTTTTTAAAATTTCCATACTTTAACGAAATGTTTATTAGAAAAATTCTGTTATAAAAATAAAGAATAACAGGTATTTATTTATATTAGCTACATTAGTATTCCTGGGATTTGAATTCGCTCCTTCATGTGTTTAGAAATATGAGACTCACCCACCAATTTCCCTTTCTTCTAGACGGAAGCAGGGGAGCCATCCCCTCTGCAGAGGATCAAAATTGTGATAGTATGTCTTCGGATCATCCTCAGGGATGTTTCCCAGATCGTCGCCAATAGCCCATTGTGCAGCTCTAGTGTGACGTAAATGAACTACAACAGCTTCTTATAGACGGAATTAAAAATGCGATAACCGTATTCTTTGAGAATTCTTCTTAGATTGAAGTTTAAAAAATAAAATTAAAAAATATAATTTTTCAGCGAACTGATATTTTTTGCTATCTAGTGGTGCAGAATTCTTCTAAATAGTTTCCTTTATCGACGCAGAGTTTTAATAAGCTGCCAGTACTTTTAGTCAAAATACAACTTAAAATGGGTAGTCTGATTTCTTCACTTTCTTTCTGTAAAGTTACAGGAAGAAGATGAGTTTAGTGACGTTTAAATTAGTCAGCCAATCATTTGCACGTTTTTTCTCTTGGCTCCATTTGAATATACACGTGTGTTTATTTATTTTTTGAAAGTTTTTTTTATTTTAATTTATTAAGGGTTTTCCGAAGGTATAGATTTAATAATGTTTTTTCATAATTTATTAAAAAAAAATTTGAATTCGACAGCGAAGTGACAGTTTAATTATTGTACTTGGTGTTTTTACTTTCTAATATCTTATTGCCTACTGTTTAATTAAAGCTTATTTAGTTATTTTTTTTATTAAGTTATGAACAATTATTTTGACTTGCATTGCTGCAATTTTTGACAAAATTTATTTTAAGAATATATTTTTGAAAAGTGTTCATTATAACGTGACTCTTATAATTATGATAGTTTTATAAAAAAAATGTTTGAATGATATATATTTAAACTATGAAATAGATTTAAAGTTAATATCATATTTTGTTAATTATAAATGAATTTTATTTCTTAACTATTGTCCCTTTTTTTTTTAGGTAATCATGTCTACTCAAAGAGGCAGAGACACTGAGGTAAGAAAAAGAATATATTAATGATATCAATATTTTATATTAGTTAAGTTTATTAGTAATTTATCTATTATAGTATATACATAAATGCAATTTTTTTTTATTAAAATTGATCAGTTATAAAAAATATAAACCTGTTTTTTTTAAATGTTATTAAAGGAGCATTTTGTGACTTATATTTTTGAAGGTTTAGTCTTGCTTTGGTTTAGTTGACTGATTTTTATTTGTACTTTCTTTACCTTAGTCTTATTTTTTTATGCAAATAAAGGGATATTTCTACTTCAAAACTGTACCTGTTTGAAACCATCTGCTTTCACCAAGGGACCAAATATTTCTTAAGGGCCATTTGCTTGCTGAAATCTATGTAGTTTTATATATAAAAAATTAGAAGTATAAGGATATAGGTTTAATCATTTCAAGAATGTTTACTTTTCTCCTTAATATTTCCCCAAGGTTTTCTTTGTGTGTAATTTATTACATATAAAGATATATGTAAAGTATATATACTACTATATGTAAAGAATATAATGTTGGAAGCATCAAACTTCGGAAGCACTTGCCGAGGGTGGCTCTGAGTGATATCCCTAGAGTTGATGCCCTTCTGTGATGTTTTTTTCTCCCTCCTGCCACCACCCTATCATTGCCAGAATTTTGCTATTTATTGTCTCTGGTACTGTTACAGAAATCTAACTAGCTAATTCCCTGGCATTACAGTCCATGTTGGCCCATGGCCTCACTAACAATTTTCCTCCAAAGTTGCCTGTCTCTAGCTCTTTGCTTCCAGTTTTGGACTTTTAGAGTCTTAAGGTCTTTTGTTACAGAAATTTACCCTGAGTAAAATGACACCAACAAATCAAGTAACAAAAATCTAATTTTAATTAAATGGTTCATGCCAAATTTTAAGCCAGAACTTTTATTTTTATCGATTAACAAGCCTTGCAGGGCTCAAAAAATCGCCCGTCCTCGGCGGTAATAAAAACTCCCCTCGGACTATGAATTTCTCGAATCCGACGTCTGCACGGACGGCCAATTTACCGTTAATGTTCGTGATACATTTTCAATTTTTCTCTTACAAGAGTCTAGCGCCTCCCTTCTAAAATTACCCTCTAATCAAGAGATCCCGTTAATTCCTTCGTCAGACCAAATGCGCATAATTGGTAAATGAAAGAAAAGTTGCTCTTTGCATTTGGACTTCTAACGAAGAAATTAACAATTTTTCTGATCTCATGACGTCACTGTTGACTCTCCTTGCTGCCTCAAATCTGTTAAGTTATTCAAGAGCTAAAATTTTGTACACGTTATTTAAGAGCAAGGAATCGGAAACGGTTACTTAATAACTGATATAGCTTAACCGATAAGTTCCGAGTAGTAGGAGAATTTGAGCCAATGAGAAGAAAAAGACGTGAATGCCACGATTAGAGGAAAACTGGTTCCCTCCGCCATCTTCCTTCCTCACTGAGTCAGTGTTGCCAGATTGGGCTACAAGTAGCGGATTGGGCTACTTTTAAAAGTCCCCGCTACTGAAAATTGAATTTTCGCTACTTGCTACTTTTTGGGCTACTTTTTATTTTTCGAACGCTACAAATCTTAAATATGCGCTACTTTTCTTCCTTACTGAAATATATATATATTTTTTAATCTTTTCCCTTCCCATTATAAAATGATTCTGAAAGTTTGCAGCTTCTTTACCATTTTTAAAAAGGACATTTTTGTTGTTGTTGTTGAAAACGTTCTCGCTTCAGTTTTGGATTCTTGATATGTTTTACTGATGGAGTCTATAATCTTTCCATGTTTATGTTTCAAATCGTAGACTCGGGAAATCGCAAAGATATATATGGAAAAATGCACGGAGAGTATGATGGGGAAAATGTTTTTTAACTCCAACTATTATTAATCGTTTATCTTCTGGAGAAAAAAAATCACGTTACTCGCTTTGAAACTCAGAAAAATTAAATCCAAAGTCATTTTACCTGATGAATGAAAATAGTTGTTGTGAATGACAATGAGTTTCCAAAAAATATCGTACTGTTAAATGCTTTTTAGTGAATTCATTTCACTTTTGTAAATCACGATCTATTCACAGTTGCACGAAAAATAGGAAAATTTTTATATCTCTCTAGAGCAGGGATGGGCAAACTACGGCCCGCGGGCCAACTGTGGCCCGCCGGAAGGTTTTATCCGGCCCGCGGATATAATTTTAATTTGCCGATCAGTGGCAATATACATAAACAATATACATCCATTTTCTTGTCAACTATTTAAAATTATTTCTGTTTTTCCTTTTTTAACAAAGTACTGATGACCTTTTTACTTTCTCTATTTTTGTTCTACAAAACATAAATTGATGGAAATAGTTAGCACAGACAGCTTCAATTGGTAAAATGTTGAAAGCAGAAGTTCTTCATAGAATAGTCTTAGATTGGCTCTAACTAGCGTTTGTCTTTCTCGAGGAATCTAATATAGGTAAATTGTACTTCACATTTGGCAGACTACGCATTTTAAGATCCAACGAGCGGACAATCTAACAATCATCTGAAGCAGTTGTTTCTAAATATGCCAAAGTTTTACAAATCATTACCAAAAGCTAGTTTCCAAAATTTAATATTTCATGCCCAGAAAATCAGCTCTATGTTTGCTTAATCTTATATATGTGAACAAGAGTTTTCAACTTTGAACCTTAGAAAGAATCATTTCAGAAGTGGACTAACAGAAAAGCATTTAGCCTTGTTCCGTAAAATAGGCACATCTCGCTTCGAACCTTAATATAAGGAACTTTTAAAAACGAAATCGCAATTTCATTCATCTCACTAAATATTTAAATTAAAACTTGTATATCGCTTTTTTTTTTAAATTTTGAAAGTTTTATTTGTCCCACCAAACATTTTTTTTCTCGATTTTTGGCCCTCGACCAAAAAAGTTTGCCCATCCCTGCTCTAGAGCTTAGATTTGCCCGTTGTAAATGATGAAATTATTTTTTTTAAAGGAAGCTATAATATGTATTGCTATGGTTACAGTTATTATTTTTCACCTCATTTTGCCAAATATGCAATAAATAAATGAAACAAATAAAAATTAAGTTTTGGATAGTTATCATATTAAAATAAAATTCGTATTACCAAACGCAAATGATAATCAGAATTGGCATCAAGGAGAACGACATGAAGAAATATTTCATAGAAGGCCAAGGCCCACCCAATGATGACGATGAAACGCAAAAGATGGATTTTGTTTTTAAAACAAAAATATATACTATGAAATTTCAAATAATAATTAACTATAACAATGAAATTATGAATAAAAATGACTAAGTTAATTGAAACATAATGCACTTAGGGATCAGGAAAACTGAATAACGACAATTTTTTTAATTCGAAAATGTCAACATTTTAAACCTTTCGAAACATTTATAGTAATTGCAAAATAACTAGGAAAGATAATTACTTTAAATGATAAACACGGTAATGTATATGCTGCGTGTTATAAAAGGAGTTTAGAAAATTATTAAAGCTACTACAGTGAAACTATCGTAAACTGATCAGAAGTGGAACTACAATTTGATGGTTTTATAAGAGAAGTCATCTTATAAAAATGATAATAAATTGTTTTTACCAGTTTTGCACTTGATCATCAAAATCTTAGATAGGTGATTAACTTATAGAGATGGTCAACTTAACAGGTTTCACTGTGCAAGTAAAGTAAGCACAGCAACTAAGGCGAGCTGCGAGAAAAGAAAATATTTACGAGCATTTAGTGCAAATCTATCTTTTTATCATTGTTTTTTTTTAAACTTTACAACAGATGTTACGGCTACTATAAATGAAAAAAAAATTAGTTAAAAATATTTGTTGCTTCGTAGACGCTTTAAAATACTGTTTCATACGTGGTCCAAATCAAAATATTCATTTGTTCACTAAATTACTATCAAAACTATTCTCAATCGAGTTTGAAACAATTATTGATGCTGTTACAAAGAAAAGCAAAGTCATATTTCTCATCTGCGAGCTGAATGTTTGTACTTTGTATTGTTTCGAACTTCAGAGCAGAAATGATTAAATAAATTATTTTGCTTATCAAAAAAAGATTTTTTGCCTTTTATTTTTAAATACACACAGATGTAGGCCCATGAAGTTGAACTTTTCTGAATTTCTTGTTGGAGATTGGGTCCTAGTTAGGTCTTATTTTTAATTTCCTCGAAACGCGAGATAATTTTTATTAAAAAAAAATTAGCTAGTGAGAACATTTTTATGTGCGAGTAATTAAGGTTCTTGAGGTTGGGGAATGAAGCGAGCTGAGGTCGAAACCTCTTAGTATTCTTATGCAGCTCAAAGACCGCACCAACATTAAAATATCGAAGACAGTTCCGACTGATTTTTACACATAAAAAAGCTGGAAAAAAACAAGCTAGTTAATGTTATTATAATTTTAGTGTTTTCTGCCAAACGGCGCTGTTTTACAGAAATATAGCCAAATGAATTAGTGCAGTAAATAAATTTATATATATATATATATATGTTTTATTTTTGGGCTACAAAATGTTCGAATCCGCTACTTTTGGAGCTCCCATTCGCTACTTTTTAATCTTAAGTTCTGGCAACACTGCACTGAGTAAACGGAACTCTTCGGCAACTTGTTAATCATAATGATAATTATATATTCATCAAAGATATAGAACTTGGCTGATAGTGAATTTTTCTTCAAATTTATTTTATTTTCATAGGATGCTGGGGTGTCTATAGAAGAAATAGTTCAAGGCATTTCTAGTCAGGATGCTCATCAACAATTGATTGCTGCTCAGAATGCTAGAAAAATACTTTCCAGGGAGCCTTGTCCACCAACAGATGCTATGATTGCTTCAGGAGTTGTTCCCATACTCGTACAATTTCTTTTACGCCATGATAAGTAAGTAACATTTTAAAAAGTTAATTTTAATAATATTTCAAGCCATAAATTTTCTGTGTTTGATTTTTTTTTATAGTTGTTACTTTTTCCATTCTCTTTAGTATCCAACATGAATATCATTATAATCCTGTTTTGTATAAGTTTTTAAAATTAAATCCGTTCTTTTTAGAATGGCCTGTCTGCCCTTGATCCCTATGAATGCCTGTCATCCTTTAAAAACTCTTTTTTTATTTTATTCCTTTTTTAATAAATTCCATTTTTGTTAAATTATTTACACAAAAATTTTTTTGTTCATAGGTTTAATTCTGATTATATTACAAATATTTACTTTGTTAGGGTTGTTCTTAACTGGTCAAATTTTTATTAGTTTCTCTTTTTTTAAAGGGGGTATATTGATAAACTTTTAAAATTATATTTTAAATACTTTTTTTCTTTTTAAAAATTTGCATCTTTTAGTGATTATTATCTTATAATTTTTGTGGGGATATTTTCGTATTGTGATCTGTTACGCCAATTACAATTGCCAAGGTGCCAAATCTATTTTTAACTTCTAAATTTTTTTGTAACAGAAAGTAAGTAGATGTTTGTCCGGAGATGACTGCCAGTTAGACCTTTCGAGTTGGTCACTGTCTGTGAAGTTTTTTAGTTTCTTGCGTACTTCTCGGAAGTTGCAAAGACTTGACGTTTATTCTGCCACAGACCATGATATTGAAATCTCCATTTTCAGTATAAATGATCGAAAAAAGCAGAATCGGAGAAATTTATCAATTAATAATTTTTTAGTGTTTTTTTTTTTTTTTATTTAAAGAAAGGGGCAATTGCTGAAAAATGTGAACAAATAGATGGGCAGTGTTTTCCTCCTTGTTGTGTCACTTCCTGAGGGAAGTTGGGTCACTTCCTAGGGGAAGTTGTGTCTCAGCTAGAAGGAAGTGGGTGTTTTAGTGTTTAGTTAGTTATGTTTTGCTTTGTATAGAGTATGTTCTTCTCTTGAAGAGTTATGTTCAGTTTTGTTGAGTGTAGTTTTCTTTCTTTATATTTAAAGTTTTATCTTCGTAAATAAATATAGTTGTACTGTTTTCTATGAAGTGAATTCTTTTTCTGTGAAGTGAACTCTTTATTTATGATAGATGTCTGCAATGTCTGAAACTTAATAAGTTGGCTCGTATTTTCAACAATAATGATATTGTCAGGCTTAATTTTTCCACCCTCTGATATCGAATCGAAATATCTCTTTATCTTTCTATAATTGTTACAGTAATCAAGAAAAAGGGTTCTTTGTCAGAAAGTAGTTATTTTATCATGATCATGAAAATTATTTTGCATTTTGTTAATGTATACAGTGTATAAAATATTTTTCAATTCTTAAAAGGTGCTTATTTTTTGTTGAAAGATTTGGCTATACACCCTGAATATGTCATAGTTTAGTTTTAGAAATTCAGAAATTTTATTTATATAGGACTAAAGGGTCTTACTAAACACATAATTTTGTATAAAGAAACTTTGAAATATAAGAAAGCTGCTCGTAGCTCTGAACCATATCAGTGTTAAAAAATATTAGTTGCAGGGATGAGATTTTTTCTCATTTTAGCAGATTTTCGCTTTTGTCTCGAATTTCAACCTTTTTCTTTTTCAAAAACTCTAATTCTCTGAAAGTTGCTTTTTTTTTTTTTTTATATAAACATTCCGCTTTTTCTGAAAATTCAGTTTAAATAGAATAATTATTTCAGAATTTCAAAGACAAACAGAAAATTCAAACTACGTAGCTACCAACCCTTACACATTTTTACTTATTTTAGCTATTTTCTCTGCTTTTAAGTACAGAAAACAAGATTCCCCGCACCCTAGGCAACTTGTACTTTCGTAATTCAGATTGTGCTACTTTGTGTTTGCTGGCTCAAAATCAAACAAATTAAACTTATTTTTTTATTATTATCAGTGGATTTACTGTGAAAAGATTTATTTGCTCATTCAATTAATCTTTTAAATTTCTATTTATGGCTCAACACAAACAATCCTTTTAGAAATCCCATGCCCAGAATCTGCTAATATCTCCATTCTTATTCATACGATTTTAATATCAAACATCAATTTTTGTATTTACCTGATTTAAAAGTTGCTCTTTGCGATTCTTATTCACGCGATTTAAATATTGTGCATTGTGATTGTTATTTACGAGAATTAAAAATAGCGATATTATTACAAAACGGCGATTTGTTTTGTTTGTTTGTATTTCCCTGATTTAAAAGTTGCTCATTGCGATTTTTATTCACGTGATTTAAAAATTATGCATCGTGGTTTGTATTTTTGAAATCCAATGTAGAGTTTCATATTCACAAGATTTAAAAGCTGCATATCAGGATTCATATTCTCTCAATTTAAAATCTTATTCACACGATTTTAATATTAATAGATAAAATTAATAGAGATTTATAATCACATGGTTTAAAAATTGGACTTTTTTTTGTCAAATTTTTGGATATCAGCTTATATATATANATTTCAATATAATGCATGGCAACTGTTGGTAGTTTTAAAGTTTATATATTTTTTGGCAAACATATATTCAATCTAGCATTTCCTCTTTTTTACGTTCTTACTTCTCTCATCCCTGAAGTTAATACATCAGATTGTTATTTTAGGAATTTACATTTAGTCTTGGTTTTCAATCCTTTAATTTTTTTAGTGTCCCCTTACAATTTGAGGCTTGTTGGGCACTAGCGAATATAACATCTGGCAATTTTGCCCAAAGAAGAACTGTTGTTGAGGCAGGAGCAATCCCTAATTTTACAAGTTTGTTATCTTCTCCACATGCTAATGTTGCAGAGAAAGCTGTCTGTGCCTTAAGAAACATTGCAGGTAAGTTAATATTGTCAACTTTGAAGTTCACTTATAATTGCTATTTAGGGATTAAGTTGTGGCAAATTAATGTTGTGCGTGATTATGATTTCATAGTTATATCAGATTTATTGAATGTACTTTTTTTACCCACATTTTTGTTCCAGAAAAAGGCAAATTTATAGAAACAAAACTTCCATAATAGCTTAGGCTAGAATTAAGGAACTACTAAGGTTAAAACAAAAGTATAAAATATGTAATCTTAAAAATAATTCTGATATTATAAACATATGAAATATTGTTCACTCGAAAAAGAATTTCTAATAAGTAGCAATTTTGTTGGAAATTTGAATGTGTACAAAATAATTATTTTATTAATGGGATTTATTTAACTCTTCATCTAATTAGGCTACATTTAGATCAAAAAAAATTTTAGTTTGATATTAAAGCATGGAAATTTCAAATCATACATTTGGGTAATTACTTTTCAGCAAGCTATTTATGTGTTTGGATCTTTTTTTAATTGTAGTTAATGTGAATTCATGCCTTCCAAGTCTCCTGTTTTTTTAACGAAGACTCTTGTATTTTATGTCTATCTCCTATTTTATGTCTATCTCCTATTTACCTGTATATTCTCAAATTTCTCCGAATTTGTTGAAGAAATTAAAAAATAAAAATTTGGAAATAAAGCATCCGCTAATGGCAAACGCAAAAATACTTCTTATTCTTCAACAGATCGCACTATTGTCAATGCTGCAGTACGTTGAGTGTTTATAGTTTAAGTAATTATTAATAATGATTTTTAAAAAATGCTTGTTACATAAAGGTTTATACGTATTTTTTACTTCGCTAAATGCTAGTGCTTATATTATTTCCAGTTTTGAATTTCTCTTTTTGACTTTACATGAGTATGCACGATTTCCCTACTATGCATGATATATCCCGAAAATTTGTTTTAGCATTATAGAACTTAAAGTTTAATGATATTAGAGCATTTAGTTTTAAAACAATATTTAGTTATTTTTCCTTCTTTTTATAGGTTTTGGTCCTAATATTTCTATTTTGTTTGTGTTTAAAACATCCCATTTTCTATGAATATTAATGCAGCTCTTAAAATCTTTTTGAGCAATGGAAAGATTCAGTTTTTTGTTCTCATATTTTTATTTTATTAATGGTTCATCCAGAATTTTACTTATGAACACCGAGGCTGAGAAGCACATTTACTATTTTCATTTAGAAATTGTTAAAACCGAAACTTTATAATATTAGATAATAGAAGTTATGAACTCCATTACAGGAAGTATTTCCGTTTATGCTTTTGATTGTAACAAGCATAATGTGTCTTTAATATGATAATGAAAAAGAGTTTATGTAGCTTATATTTCAATTCATTCATTCCATAGATTTAACTAATTTTAAAAGTAACCTGAAAATAGATTTGGTGATGCTGTATTTTAAGGGTGCACAACCTTTTTGAGTGAAGGGCCACTTGCACAGCAGGTAGATTAACAAAGGGCATCACGCATATTTAGCAGGGTTGGCAGGTTTTTGACATGTGACAGTTTTTGACAGTTTAAACCATGGTTTAAACCGTCACGTCAAAAACCTCACTGTCGAAAATGTCAAAAACCTATATTCATATGTGAAATTTAATTAATACATAAAATTTATATATTTTTTATAAAGGATAGTGTTACTAAATATGTTCTAGAAAAAATAAATTTAAAATTTTGAAGAAACACTTATATTTTGAATAGTAACCAAAATCTTGTACTTTTGAAAGCTCACATCTTTTGTAATATTATGTATTCATTTTCATGTGTTATTGAAAATCTGCAGTGATATTATTAAGAAATTTATTTATAACCAAATTTAGTGTATAGTATAGATTATACTAAAAATTAGACATTTTTAAAGATAAACATTAGCAGTTTTGTACATTAGACATCTTTTAAAGAAAAATCTTTTTAATATTCTTTTAAATCTTAATAATCTTTTTAACATAAGACAATACAAATTTAAATGCTTTCTGTTAAATACACAGAGTAGTTAGTGTCGATTTACAGTATATTCAGCCTATTCATTTACTATGCTGAAAATTTAGTTTATCCAAATACTTGTGAATTTCATTTTGCTGAATACTATATACATAGTTTTGTTGAATATCTAAATATTCAGCTGTTGAATAATTACTTCTTGCTTTCAAGATATGCATTATTTGTATTCTTAATACAAGTGGGGGAAATAAATTAAGAGGTAAAAATTGTTTTAAAATGATAAGTGTAATAATTATAAATAAATATCATAAACATTATGAATTATATTTATCATTATTCACAAATATAACTACTTTTAAATTCAAATTAACATACTGGATAATAAAGATATTCGGTATAGCATTAAAAGCTTTTTTCATACACTTGTATCAAGTTTGTATTTATACAACATAACTTGTAAGTTCCTTATAAATATTAGTTATATGTTCCTTATATGTCAAAAATGCATAGTAATAAACTTTTAATTTTCTTAAGTATCAAAAAAAAAAATTTTTTTTTTCAAAATATAAATATTTAAAAAAAATTTGTGCAAAATTTTTCTGCACATGCATTTGAATATAAATTTCTGAGATTTTAAATCTGTTATTTTACCTTAATTTTAATTAAAAAATATTTTAAAACCTGCTGATTACCTATAGTATAATTAAATTTCAATATAATGCATGGCAACTGTTGGTAGTTTTAAAGTTTATATATTTTTTGGCAAACTTTAGTTTTTGACATTTTTGACGGTTCAAACCAGTATTATACCCTTGTCATGTCAAAAACCACTTTTTGACGTCAAAAACCCAACCCTGATATTTAGTCATGTTACCGGCAAATATGATACTTTTTATATAAGTATTAGTGTTCTAAGCACGTAATATTTTTATCAGTAAACTTAATAACATGTTTGCAAAAAATTAAATGCTTTTTATTATTTGAATTTTAAAAAAAATGATACTTTTTTCAAGAAACTTTTTCCATTTTTCACAATTAATTTATCAAATATTTATAGATATACATAAATATAAGGGGAGATAAATTCTAACCAAAAAGAAGCTTACAAAATGAAAGAGCAAAAAATTTATGCATTTTAGAATAAAATAATTTGAATTAAAGATTTTAATTTAAGAAAATTTATAATGTTTAAACAAAAACCAAATTAAATGAAATTTTTTGTTGGGTTCAGAAGTTCCTGCGGGCCACACATCAACAGTCAGTGGGCCGCATTTAGCCCACGGGCTGCAGGTTGTGCACCCCTACTGTATTTAATATTAATTAATTTGTTTATATCAATTTATTTTTATAAATATTTTTGGAGGCAAGCTCTGATTTTTAAACATTTTAAAATTATGTACTTAAGTTGGTTTAAAGAAATGCATATTTCCATTAGTATTTAATCTTAAAAGTGGAAAATTTTTGAAATTTTTTTTTTTTATTCCTACTCAAAAACTATAACTATTCATACAAATTTAAAATAACTTTTAACAAGACAGCCTTTTTTTTTTTTTTTTTTTTTTTTTTTTTTTTTTTTTTTTTTTTTTTTTGAGATTTTTTTAAATCATTTGTTGGTTTAAGCTATCGTTTGAACCACATTGGCTTAACCTTTGGTTTTACAACATGTTTTGCTGGTACAGCATGAAGACCACGTGTGTTGATACAACTTGGTATGCTTGGTTAAGTGTTTCTTTTGATAGTCTGAAAAATTATTTTAACATATTTTTAAAGTGTCTATATTTTATTAAATTTTATTTTAAAATAAATTTTATCATAATTTATTTAATAAAATTGCAAATGTTAGCCCCTTTGTTTTTCTCCTCTCTCAAAAAGAAGGTAAATTCAGCCATTGGAGAAAAAAAAGGAATTTACAGTATTCTCTTTTCTATTATTAAGAAGATGTTTTAGTTTATTTTGTTTGAATTTGAAATAAATCGTAGAACGTTTGTTGATTTGATTAATCTTAATATTTTAAGGTGATGATGTTTATTTAAGAGACTTGGTTATTAGAAGTAACATTATACCTCCACTCCATGCACTACTGACATCTGACATTTCAGTAAGCATACTTTTGATTGAAATAAGAGCTTTTTTTTTTATACAGCATTGACATAAATGTGACAGAATAATTTTTTCTTATTATTTTAGCCACTGTTGCGACGCACTATTACAGGAATTTTGTCTAAACTTTGCATTAATGAAAATTCGCCTCCTCCATTTCACGTCATCAAAATGGTTCTGCCAACTCTTGCTGAACTGATAAATCACAGTGGTAAGATTTTAATACCAATTGATTTATTAATTATTAATAAAATTTTAATTACAATAAGTTTTGTCTTTTTATGCTTTCCACAATTGTTTTCTTTCTAACTGTGTAGCTTATAAATACTTAGGTGTTATATTTTATATTGCTACTATATTTTTGACTTAGAATTTATATCTTTCTTTTTTCTTTTAAATATTACCAATGTTAAAGCAAAATGCACTATTAAATGTAGCATGTCATATTTTATTAATTATTAGACTGCTCTCTCTGTGGAGTTAAAAAGGAGTTAATAAAACATTTGTAAGGCTTCTCAAAAAGTGTTTATATTTTATTCTTGATATTTCTAAAGTTTTTCATTTTGATACTTTGTTGCTGTTTCGCAACAAAAATCCTGTTTCAAGGTTGTTTTCAATAATTAAAATTATTATTTTTTTATTAAGAGTATGTTTTTTCTGATCTGCCTAATTTCAGCTGCCAACTGTTCAATTAAATTGTATGTCCTCAGATGTTTATGCATGTTCTGAATTTTTAGCTTTGTGCCAAAAAGGTCCATGTTTTGATTTTTCAGTATTCTAGCACCTTTTCCCTCCATATACCGATTTTCTTTCAGTCGAGGGCGGATGATGATATTTTTCAGCAAATATTTGTAGAATTCTGCTTATCTCAAAACTATTGGTTCTCTGACTTCCGCAGATCAAAAATTTACAATTCGACGACACATTGAAACTTTTGCTAAATCCTGTTGTCGAAACCTTTACATACATATGATTCTTGCTCCAATACGACTTAAGTTTATTGAAAAGAAGATAAAACTATAAACACAAAGACGAACTTCCCTCAACAAATGGAGCACCACTCTACCTAGAACAGAACATAACTGTAAGACAATTAAACTCACTTCTTCCAAGCTGTTACACTACAAGGAAGTATCACATCTTTCTCTAGAAAGTGACATAGCACGAGAGAAAACGCTGCCCATCTATTTGTTTACATTTAGGAGTATGTTTTTCAGCTATATTTACTCCTTTTAGGACCCAATATTGTCATACATTTTTAAAGATCAGATTTGTATTCATACATTTTTAAAATCCAAAATTGCTATTCATGTTCATGCTGTTGTAATATCAAATGCAGATTTTTATATTTGTACGCGATTTAAAAACTGTGACTCGTATTCACGTGAATTAAGACTTCAATATCGCACAGGGCTCAAAAAAACTCGGAAATTTTACTCGTCCCAGAGGGCGGCTTATCCAACAATGTACCTGTTCTTTGAAACTAACCCGTAGCTTCTAATTGAATAAAAATATAATTTTCTCTTATTTATTACAAACATTTATATAAATTGCATAATGAATATAACATTTATATAAATTGCATAATAAAGGCTCTTAAAAGTACTTAATTTTGGTATAAGGTTTTTAAAAGTCCTTAATTTTTCAGCATCACTAAACTTGGTAAGAGCAATTTTTCAGTTTTTAAAACAAAAAGTCGTTCTTTTATCACATAGAATTAGACCATACACCAAGGGTAGAGCATTTTAGAGAGACAAGAAGGGATGTGTGTGACGGGGCTACAGGCAAAAAGAATAAAACATCTCCTTTCAGTAATATATTGGTTCTTTCATTAATATATTATGCCTTTTCCCTAGAATGATACTCTATGAAGAGAGTGATATTCTAAATGAAAAGAATAGAGTGTGGACAAGGATGATACTGCACGTGGAAGAGATGGTGCTTTTTTGGGGAAGGAGGGAATCCGCACTGACCTTCAAAGTGTACAGAACTCAAGGTATACAGTTCGACTGATAAAGCATCTGCTCATACAGAGTTCCCACGGTACTTGAAGACCCTTGAAAGTTGGAAGTGGTGGAAAAAAATCAGAGCCCTGAAAAGTCCTTGAATTCTGCCATAGGGTACTTGAAAAGTACTTGATTTTTTAGGAATTTAAATACTTCTAATTTTTCTTACAAAAAAGTAGTAAAAAATAATAAATTCAATGGAAAATTATAATGATTGATGCAAATTTTAATGCTTGAAGTGAGAAGGGGTTAAAGAAGATGCAAAACTTTTCTTTCCTAGACTTTTCAGACCAGATTATTGTTCATCTCTAATGTTTTGAAAGCTGAAATTTCTAGCAAATTTTATGTTTTTTAGTCATAGTTTTTGAATGATATATAGTGTTTAATTGATTTAGAAATATGTTCAATGTGTTATTACGACAGGTTAATATTATCCTATTTGTTCCTTTAATTTATGTACAAAGGATAATTAATTTTTTATCATTTACAAACAAATTTTTACATTTAGTTTTTGCTGCTAATAAATAAAATTTAGTTCTACAGGTTTCATTAATTATGAATAAGCATCGTAATTCACATTAAACTGATTCTTGATTTACGGAACAGAGTTCATATAAAATGTTCACGGCGAAAATTCGTTGTTCATGGTGAATTTTTTACCGCCACGGGCGGGCTGTTTTTCGAGCCCTGATATCTCAATTTGTATTTCTGCATTTTTAAAATCAATTATCAAAATTCATTCTTTTGATTTTAAAATCCAATATCTTGACTTTTGTAAGAGGTTAGTTTTTTTTTTAGTTACTTCAAAGATGGGATTCTTCATCAGTTATTTTGTTAAGTATGAAGCATGTGTGGTTTATAAATTGATATCTTGATATGGACTTGGCACATAAAATTTTCAGGGATTTTCAATTTGTGTCACCTCTAATACACTTATTATGCTTTGTGTTCCTATTTTTGTTTTTAACAAGTTGGCAGCTATTTATAATCTAATCTTTTAATGTTTTTTTTGACAAACTCTAGTAGTGCTATTATATCTCTCATTTACTTTTGTATATATTATATTTATTTAGATAAAGAAGTGGTCAGAGACTCTCTCTTTGCTATATCATACCTGACTGAAGGCAGCTACAGGGAGCGTCAGGAAGTAATAAATCTTGGTCTTGTTCCACGCCTTTGTGAACTTCTAGAGATGAGGGAAGTTTCTATTATCTCACCAGCACTCAATGCAATTGGACATATTATATCTGTAGATGATGAGCATGTTCAAACAATGATCAATGCTGGTGCTCTTCAGACTTTAAGGGTGTTGCTTAGACATCCCGTAAATTTTATTGTGGAGGTGAGTGACGATCTCTTAATTGTTGTAATCCCAGTGGCAGAATTTTTTCAGACTTTCTGCAACAAAACTCTCTAGCACTAATATCTTTCTGCAATGTACATTCATTAATAACTAAGATGTATGTTGCTAATTAAAGGTAACAAGAACGCTGTGTTTACAAAAACAATATATTTTTTTAATTGAATATGTTATATTTTTTTATTCTAATATTGTGGGCAATATTCTCGCACTTTGTTGGGGCCACACTAATTATTTCCTTTATCGCATTTTGCAAATCATCACATTAAAAAAATAATTAAATATGATAATCTGTAGCAGTAATTAACAAAAAAACGGGTCGACGATGAAGTCATGCGAATTGGACTCTTCAGAAAGGTGTTACTCAAATGCAATGTTTCATTTCCAGATTTGATCGTTGTTGAAAATAATATCGGATGACAAATTTCAGGTTTTCAAAAACTATCGAAATAGAAATCAAAAGCAATAACTGCCAAAAAAAATTTATAGCCTTAATAAGTAAATGATCAAATGTGATGAAAAAAAAGTAAATGATCATATGACCTGAAATATATCCGAACATCTGCAACCCTTATGTGAAAATCAATGTCAATAACTACTGAAAATACAATCAAAAAGGATTTACGATATCGGTATAAATTGAGATCTTCAAAAAGTGGTTATTTAAATACGCGATTCGAATTTTGGGTGAAAATTTTTGTTGAAAAGCAAACCAAAATTTTTTACTTCTCAAAAGAAAAATCTTTCTGCAAGAACTCAGTAAAGTTCTGCAACAATGTCTCCGCAATTCTGCCATGAAGCTCAAAATTATTGCGAATGCTTTGTTAGGCGTTCTATGCATTCTGGGTAACAATGAAGAGCACAAGAGAATATTCTCATAACTTTTCTGGACTCATTAAAATAGTTGTTTCATTAACAACGAAAACAGTTCTCATTGAAACAACAGAAGAGAAATTATATTTTTAAATTCTTAAGGTGAGAACTTGTAAAAAAAGAATAAAAATGTTTGAATTTTTATTAAAAGATTGTTGTTTTAAGTTTTTTTAAATTTTCCTGTGCTTTTTAAATTTATTTTTAGGATGCCTGTTGGATTGTTTTTTTTACTGCAGGTACGCCTACTCAAATCCAAGCTGTTATTGATAATGAACTTGTGGGTCTTGTCATTGATGTTCTTCATAAGGTATGTCTTTCTGAAGCTTAATTGAAAAGCATATTTATTGATTTAACAAATACCCTTCATGCATATGTTAAATTTTTATGCAATAAATATCACTTTCCTTTTATTATTTATTTTTAATAACTTTGCTGCCAGCAAGTGACTTTTACAGAGGTGTGATTCTTCCGCTGATTTCTACTTTTGGGGGGGGGATTTTTCCATTTCCCTTGCTAATTTCTGTGGGGATTTTTTTTTTTTTTTTTTGCACAAGTTAGAATATTCTCTGGGGAATTTAATTTTTCGTGGAGCGAAAATATTGCAGTCCTCATTCCTCCCCCTGAAGTTTCTCTGAAATTAATTCCTTGAATTAAAACTGGTTAACCTTTGTAAAACACCCCCAAAGTATTCTCAGTATTTTTTTATCTTCTGATGACTCACTACAAGCGCCGTGTTCTATTTTTTTTTTTTTTTTTTTTTTNTTTTTTTTTTTTTTTTTTTTTTTTTTTTTTTTTTTTTTTTTTTTTTTTTTTTTTTGTCGTTTTCAATATTTATTTGATTGACCAGTACCATTGCAAATCTGTTCTATTTATTCCCTCACCCTTTTCAATTCCAGCTTCAGAATTTGTGATTTGCTCTTGTTCTTCAATAAGAGATCATTATTTTTATCTGTTCTTATAATAATGGCCAGTGTTCGTATGGGTATCGTATCTCATTCTTCTTTTAACATTAGGGAAATAGATAAAGCTGAAAATCCGCGGAAATGGGATTGGCTGTAAAAACAAATTGAAGGTATATATTTACGCGAGCGTTTTTGAAAATTGGATAAATGCGGCATATGCTATTGTACCGTCTGTGGCAAAGAGTTGGCAGACAATTCCAGAGGATTTGTTACACTTACAGACCATGTTAAATCCTCAAAGCACAAGTCCTCAGATATGGAAGGAGCATTTTGCACTACCTGGGGAGTTATTTTAATCCTTTTTTTCTTTACTTAGCTTATTTAGTTTTACATTTTAAGTATTTAGATTTAATTATCAAGTTTTAAGTATTATAAATTGGTTTCAAGACTTTTTCAGGAATTTTTTTGGGCCTCGAAAGAGGCTCCGCGGGTTAGTCTTTTTCATAACCAGTGATGAGTTTTGAAACCTCTGATTATATTTAGAACAATCTAAAATTTACAATTTTTTTAATATTTCGGTTGCCTTTATTAAGTTAATGTAAGATGCCATCTAAATGGAAATTGCATTTTTTAAAAGAGAATATATTATAGCAATATATTGAACAAATTATGAAAAAGAACAAGCATTTATAAAATATTACATTAGCACTTCCTATTGTGCATTCCTCTAATTAAGTATTTTAAACGTAGTTTTTTAAAGGTTATAACGTTTGCAACTATCTTAATAAACAGTAAACTGTATTTATCAGGGTGGCCACCCACCTGGAAAACCTGGAATTATCAGGGAATTTTTTTATACTGGAAAAAACCTGGAAATATCAAGGAAATTTGGATAAAAACCTGGAAAAATCAGGGATTTTTATAGAAAAGCTGGAAATTTTTCATTTAATGATTTTTTAAATTTCACTAATTTAAATTATTTGCTAATTTTCTTAATTTAAATTATTTCATCCATTATACCACTTTTTTTTAACGGAAATGTATCGCCAAACAGTTGAAATATCATCAACTTAGCGATACTTTGCTTGCATCAAAATTTGCTCCATTATAGTTCTGTTAAACTAGAATGCCATATAAAATTCTTCCACGGTTGCTTAACAAATGTGGAAACCTTTGACCGCTATGGGAATTTAGGAAAATTTAGGTAAGATTCTGGTGGAAAAAGGGATTAGGATATTAGCTTCTGTTTATAAATTCTGTCCTTGCTAAATCCATTTATGGCTCAAGTTTGTTCCGATGCTTTGGTGGTTATTTTTTTTTCTCTATTTTGACAAAATGTTTTTGTATTTTTAACTTTATAAAATTCTCCAAAAATTAGTTGGTTATAATTTTATGATAATAGATTTTATATCACACTCTTTTTCTGAAAGCTTTTCTACTCCTATTCAAAGAAATCTGTGAATTATTTTTTCTGAGCAAACCAACCAATCACACATTTTTTTACAATCACTAACAGCAATGTTTGTCGACAAATTTTTACAATTGTTGCATTAATGCTAATTTTTTCTATTTCATTTTAACCTCTTATAACATATTTTAATTTTAAACAAAAAAGGCTCCTTTGTTGGTCAATATATGATTTTTGATTCAAAATTTTGTGCCAAAACATTAAAAAATAAATAAAAAATCTTGAAAATTGTCAAAATAAATTATTTTTTTCAAGATGATATGTTAAAAAAATAACATTTTGAATAAAATATTTTATAATATAGACACTTTTCTTGTACACATCCTATACTTTATAAGAAAAAAGAAACGCAAACCTGGAAATTTTAAGATTTTTATCTGGAAAACCTGGAAAAATCAGGGAAATTTGAAATCTGATTTGAGTGGCCACCCTGATTTATATAGTCGTGTTCCGCTGGAAGAAGGGAAAATTGTTTGCATGCAAAATACTTTTTAAATAATTGAAAAAACACCTGCAATTTTGGCAAGAAAAATGTAAGTATGTTGCTATCATCGTTTTAATAAAAATATCGATGGAATATTTCATTTAATTTTATGTAGAAGAAAATGTGGGAGTAGGGGTATATTTCTCCCAGTTTGTGAAGATAAAGCTAATTTCTTCCAAGACCTTAAAGATCGTTAGGTCAGGGGGAGGCAGGGAAGGAACAATTGTTTTATTTTTTCCTGTGTGTCTGAATTGTAGGAATGGTTTTACTTCTGATAAGCTGCCGTCAATCAAACACGGAGTGGCATGCTGAATTCGTTTTTTCTTTGATTTACGAGGGAGTGGGAAAATGCATGATACAAGTGTGGCAGGACCGTCGCAGCCCAAGGAAAGTTAATTAAGAATATGAAGTATATGTTAATGTTAAATTAAGAATATGAAATAAAAATTCAGAATAATATTGCCTGAAAGTAAAATGACGGATTCATAAGCCCCGGTTATTATTGAGGAAAATGAGATTCGAAAGAGAGAAAAAAACCAGTGAATTGTCGGGGGAAAGCGAAATTTTATCCCAAGTATAGTTAATGACAGAAAATTCCACACAGATCAAATTGCTGGATTACACTCCCCCTTTTTTTTTAATATCGCCATTTGCCCTCGCGTTATGGGGGATCTATGCATCTTAAAAATGCTTCTATTATTTTTTATCGTTTCTGAGTTTTGCCAATCGTATGTGCGAGTTAAGGAACTGGAAACTTCGGCCTCAAGAGTATTGACTTGTTAGATTTTTTTTTTTAAATCCACTTTAGTTACTCTATTCTTGTTATACTTGATTTATTGTTGCAAATTGTTTTATAATTTCGGATAATACATTATTATTACGATTAATTATTCCGAACAGAACGTTTTTATATCGTCTGTTATATTAATCTATTTGACACCGATTAACAAAACAATATTTTGCAATTGAAAAATCTTGCTTTTTTAGAAGTGCGATATCGTTTGCGAGTTTTGCTTGATGTAGAATATAAAAGAAGATTGTTTATTAATCTAAACATGCAATTATTTATTTCTAATGGCAGGCGATTATTTTACAGCTTTCTTTTTTTAAAAGTTATATATTTCTGATTTCACTACGTATTGAGTTTTTTTTTTTTACCTTTCGCAATAAATTCATTCCTTTTATTCATAAATTTTAAAAGTAAGCTGTTTTTTTTTTTTTTTTTAAATTCAGTTGATTTTATAATATTTTGTATTAATATTTATGTTAGCGCTTTCAAGTTTGGTAATTTTCAAGTGTTTTTTGATTAATAAGTTTTCCTTTTTTATAGTTTTCTTTTTTCCTTATAATTAGATATGAAATATATTGCATATTTTTAATAATATGTTTTGTGTTATATTAGTTAACTAGCTAAATACCTTCGCACGGGGTGAATAAAAATTTTGTAAAGAATCAATAAATCAGAGTAGAGAAGATCTACTGAATCATGCTCATAATATGCTGACACAATTAAATATGAAAGAACCAGATAAGTGACATTTTTAGGAAGTTATTGTATCACTGCTTTTGTCTTTTAAATCTTAACAGAACTAACGAAATAAATTTTCAGTATCCTAGCATGATTTTTATTTCAAATCAGGTAATAAGGTTTTTTTTAAAGGCAATTTGGTTTTATTTAAAATTAGGAACAACAAAGCAAAAAATTATTTGTCTGGCCTTCTACTGAATTGGTAATAAAATAGTTTGAATGCAATTTTTTTTCCTTCTGAAAATGTCACTTACCTGCTTCTTCCACAAAGTTTTTCAATTAATATAGCTAAAATTATTTCATTTTTTTAAATTGAATATTTGTTGCCCTTTTTGGTGACTCTTGTAATAAGTAAGAAATCTTGTTTTTTGTAGTGATATTTGTTGAACATGATATTCCTTGGAATAATTCACATTCTTGTTAGCATCTATAAAGCAAATGATATTGGAAATGAAGCTAGAGAGAGCACATCAGACATTTAAGGCAAACACTTTCGCATAAAGTTCTTACACAAGCAGGCCAAGATTGAAAAACAGAATTGTTAAAATATTGTTTGAATGTTGTTTAGATACTCATTTAATTTCAAATTCGTTTGTCTGTGTTGTCACTCTTTAAAGAATATGTAAACCTGTTTCAAAGTAGTTCTCCACTTATACATATTTTAAATGACTAACAGTTCTGGTTAGTTAATAACTTTTTGGCATGCTTTATAAAAGCTGAAAAATTAGCCACTCTCAAAGATTATTGTAAAAAATTCAAACTTTTCCATGTGGAAGACAGAGTTAATCACTTGCCTAGAAAATCTATATTTGTGGGGAGAAATGTAGCTGAAGTGCACAGCTTTTCGCTGTGCACTTCAGCTCCAAGATCTCAGGTGGACACCATAGAGAAATTCAAAGCGAATGTTTCAAAAGCATATCCGGCTTGTTGAAAAACATTACAACAAAAGATGCCATTAAATATGACCTAGAAGCCCAATGCTACCATGTTGCCAAGCTACGTCAGCCTAAACAAAATGAGTCTATAGATTACTGGTGGATAGAAATTGAAAATTCTACAAAATTTCCACTTCTGTCAAAAATGTCACATGCTCTGCTTTCATGGACCCAAAGTGGAGTCCAATTTTAGCATTACGAACTCTATAATAACACCAGGGTCCAATAGGTTGAATGTAGAGCTGAACATTTTCCTGCATGAGCCAATCAATAGAAAACTGCGTAAAAATATGAAATCAGCATACTTAAATTGCAGGAATGACATGGTTTTGAAAAGAAAAGAGAAGTGCGCCAAACAACCACATGCCTGAAATCAAAAATTGATTTCAAAATAAGCAGCAAAGAAGTTGTCTGCAAAAGCCACTAAATTACAAAGAAATATTCATTTAAAGAAAATGCACAAGATTTCTTTAGAGAAAAATGTTCCTTCTCTTTCAACTGAAGTGAACATGTCAATGAAAAGTTAGTGAAGAAACAAAGTACAGTACCTGTAAGGGGTATAAATTCTTCTCCTTCAAATAAGCATAGACTTAATGAGAATGCAGCTGAAAAATCAGCAAGAAAACAAAAGACAAACCACCCTTCTACAAAACAAAATAAAGGAATGTTTTAAATGACAATCAAAGAAATGTTTACTAAAAAATAATTGTAATATTAAACTACTGGTTTTAGGCTTATTAAACATGTTTATTTTATTTGTACATTCTATGGTATTTTTTATAACTGAAATTTATTCAATACTAAAAAATGTATTTGAAATAAAATTTCTAAATAATTTGCCGGTAATTTGTCTCTCCTGGGAAATATTTGATTATAATCTTATTAATAAATCACCCCTTTTATGTGAATTTTTGAATATCGTATCTTTTACGTGTTTTTTTCTTTTTTTTTTTTGGAAAAATTTTCGATTTTACTCTTATGCTTTCTGTCCACTCTCATCCCCGCTTTAGTTGGTGCCTTTATTGATGCCGACAAGCTTTTTGTTGGAGTTAGATATATCTTTATAGTCTTTTATTCTAAAACTTCTCTAGTTCTTGGGAATAGAATTTTAAAATTTTAGTTTTGTTCTTTGAGCATTTCATAAAGTTACATTAAAAATTAATTACAATTTGTATCAGCTCAATATGCTACTCTTACATTGCCCTTAAACATAATGCTAATATTTACAAAGTAAGCATTACATCACAATGATGTGCATCAGTAGTTTGCAGAGGTGTGTAGATGTACAAGGCAAAATTCCTAATTAGATGCTTGTGAAAAGAAAAGTGCAATAATGTCATCGTTGGAAGGGACCCCCTTCCCCCCAAAAAAACCAAATTTCAAGGAAAAACATTCATCGGAACATTTAATATTCATAATAGTTTAAATCCATATTTAAGTCTTTTTTTTTATGGTAGTTACTTTTGTATAATTTTGATATTTTTAAGCAAGATATCTTAGATGCGAAGAAAATAAATATTTAATTACAAAACACTTGATTTGATTGATTGGTTTGAAAATTGTATTTTATATTGCGCAAAATGTACTGCTCAAGCAAAATATTTATCAATTGAAAAATTTCTAATACAAATATAGTAACAATCTAATGCAAATATATTAGTAGTCTTGCAACAGATTTAAGGCTTTACACCATTTTATTATGGCGTATTGCGGAGATGTACCCTTTTCGCCTCTATGCACCTTGCTGATGTGCATTAATGCATTTTACAAATCTTATAAGATCTTTAAATTATTACTATTTTATTGTTACATGTTGGCCTTATAAATGTTGATTTATTTACATTCCAAGAATCTTTCAAATGTTTTTTTTTTCTTACTTTTCAGGGTGCCAAAGGATGCCAAAAGGAAGCCATCTGGGCTGTTAAAAGTATAACAACATATGGTACAATAGAACAGATTATATTTTTGGTCAAAGCTGGTGTCATCCCTCCTGTTTGTAACCTTCTTGCTGTTAAGGATCCAGAAATTCTAGCTGTAGCTTTGGAAACCATAGATAATATTCTAAATGTATGAAATATTTAGTTTCTTTCGATTCATTACTTATTTTCATTTTTAGTACCTGCAACAAAACAAAAGTGTGTTAAAAATCTATTTTTAATTTAAGATTTCCCCAAATGCAATGCTTAAAATGAAAAATTAAGTTTTATGCATTGTGATTGGTTATTTTACATAAAAAAAAATGTTAAAATGCGAACAGTGAATGATTATTGAAATTGAGATGGTTTGAAATATCAAAATGAGATGGCACAAAAATGTTAGGAGAAAAGTTTTTAAAACTTGGTTTTGACGAGGAATTTTGTTTTTGCATTATCAAATTGTATAAATATATAGATCTAAATTTAACATCAAATTAGGAAAACCTTTTTATTTGTAATTTAAAATCTTTAAACCCCTATGGGCTGTAAATTAAATGGTGCAGGTAACCTAGATTTAAATAATGCGTGCATTTGTAAAAAATTGAACACTTTTAATGATCATGTAAATTGAGAAGATGCAGGGGTAAAAGAAAAGATAAAAATTAATTTATTTTGATTCGTTTCAGATCTTTGTGTTTATTGGATGTCAATAAATTTAACATTAAAAACATTAGGGGTTTATTTTGAGTAATAAAAATTCCATGTTGAAATGGATAATTAAAGAGATATTAAAACTTATGAAATTTTCTTCCCCTGACTTTAAATATATTGTATTAGATCTTATTAAATTTTAACTTGCCTTTAACAATTTTGATTTTTGTGAATGTTTCAAAAATTAAAGAAGAATTTTTTGTTCTTAATTTTCTTGATAAAGATTTTGAAAGAGGTTTACTACCTATGACTAATAATAAACTTATTGTTTCCCAATTAGAGAGAAAATCTGGGATTCTGTTTGTTTTAGATATTGTAAGACTTTAAAGAAGAGAATTTGTAATTATAATTTATGTAGTAAAAATTTAAATGGCTTAGAGGATATTTGTTTATGTGAGCTAGAGCATTTTAAAGATTTTGTTAATAATGATTTTAAGCTTATTGTCACAGGTGACCTTAACATAATCAGAAATTAAGATTTCTCGTGGGACTAGACTTAGGCCAAGAAAAAATATCACTTAAATTTTATGCTTGCTTCAATCAATAAGAATTTCGATTGTTTTATCTAAAGATGCTCAAGAAAATTTATTTGGCCTATAGAGTGATTTAGTGAAATTTTGTGTTTTATATAATTTTAAATTAAATTTTTTGAACAATAATATAAAATATCAAGTTTTATTTGAATACTGATATTATTAAATCTATTAAGAAATTGAAATATAATGTTAGAGCTGCCGTTGGCGACTAAAAGGGTAACTATTTTAGTAGAAATATGAGTAAAAGCAACTAATTTGCGATGATTTTTGTATAATCGGGGTCTTTTTAAGCCAATTAGCGACTAAAATGAAGAGTAGCTTCATGGGTTTCCCCCTTTTGTCGAATTGTGTACGTAATTTTTTTGATAAGCTTAAAATTTGGAAATGTGTCAGTTTTGAAAAATAAACACTTGATAGATGAATTAATTAAATTATAATAATTTTTTTTAAATGTCTGAACTAAGCAGCTGCAAATTAGAAAGAAAATTCGTGTTTCAAATTCACCTGTTCTGTAGCAGATAAAAATGAAACTCCCTGTTTTTATGCCTAGTGTGAAAGAATAGGGGTCCAGCAGTTAATTACAATTTCGTACACCCGTTTTTCAATTCATTTATTTTGAATGGGGTTGCGAGCGTGGTAGAACATAAGCTCTAGATAATATTAATAATCCTGAGCCGGCGACATGGTCACAGAACGTTAGAGTTTTTGCAGAAAGATTTTTCCTTTAGGAAGTAAACAAAACTTTTATTTTTCTTTCTGCAGAAATTTTTGAAAGTTTTTTTGTCTCATCAGAATTATATTCAAAAATTAATTTATATGCAGACACTATCGTGCTGCTTTCAATTATTTAATTGAGAAAACTTATTTGTATTTCGGAAAATTTTTATTTTGAGGGGGAGGAACCCTCTCATATTCAGTTGAAGACAACTATGACAAAAATCAAACAACATTTCAGTGTTTTCATTACAGATAAAAAATGGGTGAGAATTTCTCACCCTTCTTCAAAAACAGGGTGAGATTTTAAAAAGTTAAGTAAGATTTCTTAAAATTGAAAAAAACACGAATGGACTTAGAAAAAAAAATTTTCTTTAATTATAATACATTTTTAACATCTTCTAATTGAATATTTTTGCTGCATCATCATATGTAAAATGTTCTATATATACTTTTTCATCAGCTATTATATTTCCGTATTTGTTTCGTTTTGACCGTTTCTACCGACATTTGCTTCATTTTTATTTGTCCGTTACGGAGTAGAAGATGTCACCTTAACAAGGTATTTGTCCATCTTACATTCATGCACAAGAAATGTAAACGTCTTACATGAAGAAACCTTACCTACGGTGAACACGTGGTTGCAGAGAAATGTGTTCTGAAAGGGGTTCCGTGGTTCGGGGGGGTGTTGTTCTGCTGTTTGCACCAGTTCTGAACAATACTGGTCAATAGGGAAGCTAGATAACAAGGAACGATGTTCAAAATAATGAAAGATCAAGGAAGAAAAGTGAAACGGATTTTATTCAAAATAGCAAAATACGAAATTTTTTCCAAAATTTGCACATTTTGAAATTGATTAATAGAGTGTGCGATCTTCTCGCGTTAATCATTTTTTATAGCGAGAAGAGAAAAAAATATGCGAGATACTCGCGTTCTCGCGCTGTAGTGAAAACACTGATTTAAATGATTTATTACCAACTGAAACATAACAAGATAAAAACAAAAAAGTAAAATTTAGTGTGAGTGTGCACAGAGTAATGTTCAAAGATTCTTAAATACTGGGGAAAGATACAAGGTTGCCGATCCTGTGTACGTCATCCAGCTGATTCCTTTGGCGACTACGCACCATGCCTGGCGCCACAATTTCATTTAATTAAAGTGTTTTCAAACAGATGAAATAATCAATCCAAAAAGCTTGAATTATGCTTGAGAAATTGCTAAGTGTCTTACCTTTCCTGGTATTAGCGATCTACAAACCAGAGCTGAATGGCTAATTTTGCAGTTTCAACTGGTAGTAGCCAATCATGGAATAAATAAATTACGAATAGATCATTTTTGGAGAGAGATTATCTATGAAAAAGATTCAACAGGAAAAGTTAAATGTCCTATTCTCGGACTTTTTGTTGAAGTTAGTCTGGCTTTATCTCACGACAATAGTTATGTAGAGAGTTGTTTCTCAATAGCTTCCAGGGTACTTTCTCAAGAGAAAGCATAGCTGTCTGTGAAAATGTTTAATGCTAGACTTAATATAAAAGATGGTATACAGAAATTTAAAAATGTGTCAGAAGTACCAATTATGAAAATACTTTAAATCTTAAACTTATAGTGGCTGTAATTCGTATTTTGCCTATTTAGAAGAACAGAAAAAGGCTAAGTAAAGAGAGCTGAAAGAGGCTCCACAGAAAAGGAAAAGAAAATATTAGAAATATTGAGGGAAGAAGTAGAAAGAAAAAAAGAAGAGATTAACAGTCTTGAAAAAAAGGCTCAGGTTTTAATAGAGAAACATCAAGAGATGCAGTCGTCAGTAGATTAGACTCTTTACTTAAAGAAGGAAATGAGCGTTCAAAAAATGCCATTAAAATAAAATGATAGTGTTCAAATAAGAATTACTCAAGGACTATTGGAAGCTACTGAAAAATTGTGAGTAACAGAGAGAGAACATGAAATTGATGAATCAGTTAAAATTAATAAACTTGTTCATAAGCGGAAAACAAATTTAATTAATTTCTATACTACAAGCCCCAAGAAAAAGTTTAAAAAAATAATAAATTTCATGTTTTATGCAGCCAAGTGCTTTTTGCCCACTTCATTTTCAATCATAAAATACTTAATTTTTATTTATTTGTACCTATATATTAATTTTCCTTTCATATTATTGTTTACAATTATTTAAGTAGTTTTAAAATGCAGATTTTGTTTATTGTATGCTAAATTTTTATTTTATAGTAAGTTTAAAAAAAATTTTGTAGGAAAGTAAATGTCATTTCTACTTCATTCTTTTTATAATGCCTAAAATTTTTAGTCCCTAGCTTTTTTTTTTTAATTACAACTATTATTTCTTATATGAAGCTTTATGCCTCATGAAGAATAAAACTAAAAATAGATATTTTTAAAATGTTTTAAAAAATTTGGAAGTTTTCTACAGCAGTTCCTCTATCTATATGTTGTTGGCAAATCCGCAAGTAAATGTAAATTTTTTATTAAATATGAGCATCCAACTGCATATTATTTGAATTTTATACTATTCCAGTACAAATAATTAAAATTATGTTAGAGAAGGATATGATGTTGGCAACTATTTTATATATCTTGGAGACTATTTAGGAGACTTTTTTTCATATAGGATGCAACTGAAGCTACTATTTTCATCCAGTGGCAGCCCTGTAATGTTATTATTTGTTGTTGACAAAGCATCTAATTTTTGCTCTATTTGCAAAAAAGTTTTTAGACATTTAATGAGCAATGAATATTATGACAATAATACTTTTGTCAAAATTACTGCTTCTAAAAAAGAAATTTATAATCAAATATTAGCTTTTCCCAAGAAAAAGGTTTAAAAATAACAACCATGACGTTATTAAATATATAAATTACAATAATATTAATACTATTCTTACATGTGATTTGGAAAATCTTTTAAGAGTATACCACACAATAATTTAAGAAATATTTGTTTTGAAAATTTAGATAATTATTTGACTAATGAGGACATTAATAAGGAAAATTGGATAAATCTATGTAATATGAACATTTTTGAAAATTATCTTTTTTATGGTATTTGTTTTTAGACAAATTCAAGGTATCTCAATGGGATATTGTTATTCAAGTGCATTTGCTAATATTTTCTGGCATTTTTACAACACAATTTATTAGTTTGGTTAGATTTATTGGTGATTTAATTATTTTTGATTGTAATGATTTTGATTTAATTAAAGATATATATCCTAAGGAACTAAATTTAATAAAGGCCAATTCAGTTGAAAATTTTGCTTATTTTTTAAAATCTTGATATTTCATCGGATTTTACGATCAAAGAAATTTTAGGTTTAAAGATATTAGTTTAACATAGTTTATTAGTCAAAAGTTAGTTAGTCAAAATATTAAGTTTAAATTGTAATAATGAAACAGATTTTCTTTCAGCTATCGGGAATTTCAAGATTACATTAGATAACATAATTTTAAAAGGAAAATTATGCAATCAAGATTATGTAATTTTCCTTTTGATTACTGTAATTATGTTTTAATTCAAAGTATTTTGAAGACGTTCAAATAATTCGGCTGATATAAAAGCCTGCTTAAATAGGCCTATGCGATGAAGTTGAGGATTTTTTTTCCTCAAGCATATAGATGGCAGCACTTTTTTAGAAATTTTTATTCATTGAATGTTTTTTGTTTTATTTTTCAAAAGGGGTCAGCACTTGATTTCTAAAGTTTTAGAAAATTAACTATAGATTTAAATATTAATAGTCCACCATATATTTTTATTTTATTTTTTGATCAGGTTATTCTACATACTGTTTTGAACTTGTAAAAGGCTTTTTTGTTAATTAAAGAATTTTCATGAAAATGTGATTATTAATAAATAAGAATAACAAAAATTATTTCTAGTTGTCCGCTTTGTAGAAATTTTATTACCTATACTTGCCAATTTTTACAATGTATTCACATTTTTTGTGTAATGCCTGCAATTTGCTTGAGGTGTAAAGTGTACGAAATTTGAAAGCTCCTTTTTGTAACTATTTTAAATTAATACTTTGAAAATTGAAAATATTTCTAAACACTTTTCTTTATTGACAGGCTACTACAGAAGGTACTACTGTAGGTACAACAGAAAGTGTCTGCTGCGTTATAAAACAATGTGGTGGCTTGGACATAATTGAAAATTTACTACACCATGAGGACCCAGAAGTGTATAAATTAGCATTTACGATTATAGACTCTTTCTTTACAGGAGAGGTAAAACTTAGATAACTTTATTGTCTAGTTACAGACCCAAAATCCATGCAAGATTTTAATTAGATACATTGTTTTTTTCCCCCTCAATTATGTGTGTTTTAAGTACATTGAGTTAAGACTATGCATGGAATAGCACATGGTGCAAATAGTTCCATGGCTTTGCTGACGCATGTTTTTTTTTATCAAACAGGGCTGCTGCTGTTCAGGGAATTTAAAAATCGTCTAAAATAACAGGGAAAATGCATGGGATTTTGATTTTTTCTTTACAAATGGGAAAATTTAGGAAATTTTGTTTCTTATTTTTGTCTTTTAAAAAATTAAACCAACCATAGTATAATCTATGGGATATTTAGGGATTATATTTTAGCTATACTAAACTATTTCATTTACTATAGCATTATTTAAGTATGTTCATTTGTTTTTTGAGCAATTAAAACTAATAAATATAATTAGCCCAATATAGCTCACGCAAAAGCACGGTAAGTGTTTTTTTTTTTTTTTTTTTAATATATTGTGTTAAATATGTACAGGGAATTTTTTCTAGAAAAAAATTTAATAATTCTTTTAAGATATAGCCATTTTTTTGCTTCTATAGCTGAAGTTCCTGAAAAGACCTACTGTTTTCATCAGGGTTCCCATGGGTCAAGGAAAACCTGGAATTGTCAGGGGATTTAAAATAAGCAAAATAAATAAGGGAAAATCTCTAATTTTCCTTAACCTGGAAAAATCCTAAGGCGAACCTGGAAAAAGAGTGATTGAAACCTGATAAGCTGATTTTTGTACATGCTAAAGCGTGTCACTTGCTGCGCATGCGCAAGATTATCGACGCCCTCTACGTCTGACGTGGATTGAATCAGAGCCAATGAGATTTACTCAAGTTTCATCACACTTTACGTACATATCTTTAATGAATGGTTATGATGTATTTTCTCCTCGCCCTTCTTCATCTACCCCTCCCTCGTTATTAAAATAGAGTGTGTGATCCAAATGGGACGCAATAAAACATAATGTTTTGTTTGTTTTTCCGACGGAATTTTGTGTTCAACGGAGATCGTTTTCTTTACTGGTCTGGATTTTTAGGTTATTCTTTTCTTCAATTACCATTTAGTATTTGTTACTTGAAAAATAGTAAGAAAACTGTTTAATTTAGAATGTGCATGTGCAAGATTATTGATCGCTGGGGCTGCAAGTTTGTCGCGATAAATTTTAAAAATTATGCAGATTCTAAACATAAAAAAATTCAATTTATAAATTATGCAAAGGACAGAAATTGCGTAAATAATTAAGGTTGAAAATATACAACAAAAGTATTTCTTTTAATTTCAAGCAATATTAATATTTTTATTTAAATGAACAGAATTTGGTACAAAGTATTGTACATTGTCAGATTATTCTCGTTTATGCTTAGTCTTTCTTCGCTTAATACATTTTTATACTTAGAACACGATCTTTTTGCTTCCATGCTGTTTGTAGGAACCGACAAACATCAAATTGCCATGTCTATAATATCAACAGCCTAGTGCTGCAGACCATGAGTCTGCCGTCATTTGGTTGTTTAAAGGGATTAGAGCTCCTAAATGATTTCCAGTGATTTGTATAGGGAAGTGATCTGATTAAAACAATTAGACCCCTTGTGCAGCTCCTAATTCATATGCAATTATGTTGCTTGTTGTTGTGGTGTGGCTCTTTTTAATAATACAACTTACCAAACTTGAAATTAAAATATTAATATAGGGAATAAATAGGCCCTAAAAAAAGCAGGAAACAAAGGAAATATTCTGTTAAAGTTTCAATGTGTTCGGTCTCTTTCTATTTAAAAGGTAAAATTTAGAGCAACAATTTAAAAAATTTCATTAAAATTACATACTTCAAAAAAAAAATTTGTTGTTGTTGCTGTAGGCCATTAAAACAAGGAATGTGATTGTTTTTGTTTTTCAGCGGTGCCATCTATGGCTGAGAAAGATATTCTGATACACCCGTACGTCACACCCTTTGATAGGGAGGACCCATTCATACATCCTCATCCGAAGCTCGGAATTTTGACCTAATTTAGAGGACGATCAATCTCCAATTCGGTACCCCTAGAGGTGTAATTTGTTATGAGAACATAGAGGACTTTAAGGCTGACAAATTTAACGTACTCCAGTCACCATTTATTACTCGGGGAGTCTTCGACCAGCTGGTTCCGAACTCCCGTTCTCGCGAACATGAGTCCAGCACCCTGCCAAACAGGTTATGCCAGCCCCAAAAAGGTTTTCAAATATAATAGAATAATTCTGATTTAAAAACAAAATATTAGTTAGCAAATGAGGCAAGTAGCTGAGTGGTAGTGCTCCGGGGTTCGATCCTCGGGCTGGGCAAGGTTGACTCAGCCTTTCATCCCTTCAGCTTCAGTGGGGCTATGAAGGAGTACCAAAGGGACTTGGGAACTAAGCACTGGGGTTTTGCATCAGTTGACCACATAACCGGAACATCTGCTCCTGCACCCCTGACCCCAAGGTCCAGAAAACTAATATTGGCACAGTAGGCCTTGGCCTTCTGTGGGCTGTCTCTTCACTGAGTTTTGTTTTTTTTTTAGTTAGCAAATACCCGCTGGTATTTTTATATGCTACAGCAGACAAAACAGCAGGACACAAAACAGTTATTAAATTCGTAAACACTAGAAATAATTGAAATTGCAATTGATACACCTTTATCTTGTAAATTATTATCTATTATTTATTTTATAAATCTTAACCATAAAAGTAATCTGCAAAGAAAGCAAGAATAGAACAAAACATGAACCATTGTTACACTATCATGCTACTTATATTTTCCACTGAATAAAAAGCTAAATTTTTATATATTGAAGTTATTGCTGCATTTATTATAAAAGTAATTTTAAGCATACATTATTACATGTGTTCTTAATTTTGATTGTTACTGATAAAGTCCGTTAATTTTGTCTGTGTTTTTCGATTGAAAAAGTGTTTTTTTCTCATAATAAAGGTCTCCCATTTTTTAATGCACCAAAAACTCCTTCAGCCTTATTCTCAAACTGCAATCCACATTGAATTGTTTCAAATGATTTTAAACCTTTCATATGAAGGTTTGCTAATTTCTTCATCTACTTACAGTGTGATGTGTTAAATGTTAAATAGAATAATTCCATAATAAAAAAAGCCATAATTATATCAATTTGGGCTTTCACAAGAAATTATCTATGATTAAAATTATCTACAAGAAATCGTGTACGAAGAAGAAAAAAAAGAAATTATTTACGATTTAATTGTGTGGTTTTAGATAATAATAATTTCAAAATGAAAAGTAATTTTTTACTATTTTTAATTCTCTTCGTTTCATTTATAAAAAAATTTATGTAACATTTCAGATTGTTTTTTCTCTTATTTTTTATTTTTAAAATATTAGATGAGATGAAAGAAATTTTTTTTTAATGAAATTATTAAATTATATACAAACAATAAAATATTCAATCTCTATTAATAGAAACTAACAAGCAAAAGCAAGAAAATTTTTAATAAATGAAACATTATTTTAAACTATAAAAGAATTTTTTTTTTCCTTTTAAAAATGGTTGTTAATTTAATAATGGGGCTAAGGATTGCAGCGTAGTAAGATCCACTCCTTAGGTTTTATATATCCGTAGTTGAACAGCCGACCCAATTTTCGCTTTACGACTACTAATGTTCAACTCTGTAGCCTTGTAATTTTAAACCAATCCAGAAGGCAAGGTAACTCCTGGATCAGTACCCCCAGAGGTATTGATTTGTTATAGGAACATGGAAGACTTTGCGACTTGACAGATTTAACTTGCATCAGTCACCGTTTACTACTCAGGGAGTTTTCGGCCGGTGGGGTTCGAACTCTTGGACATGGGCCAAGCGCCCTACCCCTTAAGTTGAAAAAAAAGTTCTAGTAATGAAAACAAGTCTGCAATATCAACATAGCTTATTTACAGTGTAAACATTAGAAACTGTACGCCATAATAAAAATTTCAGAATTCGTGATCGCAACGCTTGAATACGCCATCTGGGGAGAAGACCAAATCCATGTTTTGACCCTTCCCCCTCTCTGTTGTATAGGAATGTACTACGATATTTTTGCCTCTCTTAATATTTTTTGTCTGTCAAAAATATTTTTTAAAATTTCCATAACTCTTTCTTTTAAAACTGTGCAATATAGTTTCCAGCTCCAAACAGTTTAACAGCATTAAGTTTTTTTAATCTATTTAAAATTAAAGTGAAACTAATGTACTTTTTTCTCCTATAACTCTCAACACAATAATGAAAGCATGCAAAGTGTGGCCTACTAATATCCTCTAACACATGTCTAGCTCAAAATTCCAGAAAAATGTTTGTATTCACAAGCCAGGAAATAAATAATCTTCTTACCTTTTCTCAGAGGTGGAGATCAACGATTGAATGTCTGTTTTGATATTGCTATCATTGTCTTGATTATCTTAATTTAATAATATTCAGACTGATATCTATTTTTATCCTTCATTTATGAACCAATTAAACATTAACAAAAGCGACTATGCCCAACATAACACACAACAGCACTCACAAAAAACTACTACTAATTCTAGATCTTATGAACATAATTGCTATTACGCGTCTGCTTATTTATTCTATATTCAACCCATAAGCTGCACGTACACTTTTTTCTGCTGTGCGCACCATCTTTATTTCAATTAAAAATAATTCTTCCCCCCCCCCCCATTTTTTAAAATTTATATAGCCTCTTCCGATGGTGAAGATTTCAAAATGTTATTTCGTAATTTATTAAAAAAGTTTGAATAAGACAGGGAAGTGACAGTTTAATTATTGTACTTGGTGTTGTTACTTTCTAATATCTTATGAAGATGTTTTGAGAATATATTTTTGAATCATATTCATTATAACGTGACCCTTGTAATTTTGATAGTTTTATAAAAAAAATGCTAGAATGATACCGTTCTCATATATTTAAACTATGAAATAGATTTTAAGTTAATATCATATTTTGTTAATTATAAACATATTATTTTTCTTAATTGTTGTCCCCTTTTTTAGGTAACCATGTCTACTCAATGTAGACTGAAATATTTGAAGAATAAAGGCAGAGACACTGAGGTAAGAAAAAGAATATGTTAATGATATCAATATTTTATATTGGTTAAGTTTATAGTATATTAATAATTTATCTACAAGGTCTGGCTATTAATTTCCAGAACTATAGGAGAAGGAAGGGTCGGAAGATGGCGCTAGTGATTGCATATTGAAGAGCGTTTTCTTGTGCATGAGCAGTGCAATTGGCGCCATTCTGGAGTAAGTAGTTCTCATGGAAAGGCTCATTAAAGCATAGTTATTAAATTTTGCTTCAAATTGGGCAAGACAACTGCGGAAACCTACGAAATGTTAAAACAAGTTTACGGCGAGGAACCATTATCCCGCTCAAGACTCGTCTTAGCGGGTTTAAATGCTTTTGGGACGGGCGCAAAGCGTGGAAGATGATCCTGGTGCAGGTCGGCGGCAGTCCGTACGCACACCGGAAGCAATTGAAAAAATTTTCGATATGGTGAAATGTGATTGTCAATTGACTATTTTAGTACTCGCTAATGAATTGAACATGGACAAAGAGATGGTTCGGCGAATTTTGACGCAAGACCTAGTCAAACACAATATTTGTTCCAGATTCGCTCCTCACCATTTAAGGGACGACCAAAAGCAATTGAGACTGGGCGCATGTAGTGTACTTATCGACACCGCTGATGCTGACCCTGCGTTCCTGGATAGGATAGTCAGGAGAGACAAGTCTTGGTTTAATCAATATGACCCTGAAACCAAGCGTCAAAGCTCCGAATAGCAGTCTCCAAGTTCACCAAAGCAGATAAAAATTTCGATTTGAAAGTCCAAAATCAAGGTCATGTTAATCGCTTTCTTCTATTGCGATGGACTCATTCATCATGAATTTCTCCCTCCTAACATGACTATCAATGTACGGTTCTACACAGAAGTTCTTGACCAACTTCAAAAACGAATTCGTAGATTGATGCCTCATTTTCAACAAAATGAGAGCTGGCTGCTGCTACATGACAATGCCCGCCCACACACTGCGTTGCCTGTGGATCGATTCTTTGCCCAGCATGGTGTCGTTGAGATACGGCATCCACTCGCAGACTTTTTCCTGTTTCCTAAGCTGAAAAATTCGCTGAAGGGAGCAAGATTTTAGGATGTCAAAGCCATCAAGAAAACTGTAGCGTCACTATTAAAAAGCATTCCAAAAGAGGACTTTAAAACTTCTTTCCCAAATTTGTACATCTGAGCACAGACATGCATTACGACTTATGGGGATTACTTCGAATCATATTAAATGGCTATGTGTTTAACTTTTTTTCTTCTGACTTATTCCATGAGTCCTGGAATTAATTAAATTAATAGCCGGAACTTGTATTATAGTTTATACATAAATACAATTTTTTTTTATTAAAATTGATCGATTATAAAAAAGATAAACCTGATTTTTCCGTAACGTTATTAAAAGAGCATTTTGTGACTTATATTTTTGAAGGTTTAGTCTCGCTTTGGTTCAGTTAACTGAATTTCATTTGTAATTACCTTACCTTAGTCTTATTTTTTTTATGCAAATAAAGGGGTATTTCTACTTAGTAACTGTACCTGTTTGAAACCAACTCCTTTCACCAAGGGGCCAAATATTTCTTAAATTTTTTTTTTCAAAAAATTTTCCAATATAAAAACAAGTGAACAATAATAAATTTCATTTATATCAGAGTCGAAATATAAGTAGAAATAAAATACACATTTTCCCAAACTGATGGAATTTTTTGGGAGTATAGCTTATGTTAACATCCAAAAATGTGATTTATAAAAAATTAATTTTTTTCATACTGTTAGATCTTTTAAAAAAAATCTGAAATAATTTATGTGATTGCATAAAATTAAATTGCATTTTTAAAAATATTTTCAAATCTTTTCAGCGGGAAATTTGAACTTCAAAAATGTTTAATATTTCAATTCGATTTTTTTCATAAAAGATCAACTGTTCTGTATGCACAAAATTTGAGGTGATTTGTCACTTTATGGTGGAAAATCCATTGATTCCTATGTCCTGTGAATTGTTCAATATTTTGTCGAAACATTTCCATTTTTATTATATTATTCATACAATTATATTTATATCTGATATCCTAGCTAAGTTTTGAAATATTTAGCTTTAAAATTGGCATCCTCCTATCTTAAAGCATAGGTTAGAGTAGCGCCACCATATGAAAAGAGACTACACGTTTTTGATCTGTGCTATTCTATAAAGCGGCGCTGCTCTAACCTATGCATCAAGATTGGAGAATGGATTGGAAGTACTTACGTTATCTATTATAAATCATATAATGTCTTTTTTTGTTATTTTAGAGATTTACTTTACTATTTATCTTTAATCAGATGGAAAAGGAATTAGTTGCAAAATATTTAAATTTTGAATTTTATGAAAAAAAAATTATTTTGAATTTTATGCCCCCTAAAATTATTCCTCATAAGGCATACGTCCCACTAGTTTATTTCAAAATTGGCGAGTCACACTTCCCTAGTTTCCCTTGTGAGTAATATACCTAGAGTTGGTGCCCTTCTATGATGTTTTTTTCTCCCTCCTGCCACCACCCAGTCATTGCCAGAATTTTGCTATTTATAGTCTCTTTTACTGTTACAGAATTCTACCCTAAGTAAAATATGACACCAACAAATCACGTAACAGAAATTTAATTTTGATTAAATGGTTCATGTTCTCAAATCACAATTTTTAAAATCATTTCTAGCTGTCTAATAAATATTTTTGTATTTAGTTACTTTGAAACTGGTCTATTATACTTTTATTTTTAAATAAAATTTTCAAAAGACGTTATTTTCCACATTTAGGAATCTGAATATTAGTTTCTTTTAGATTTTCAATAAAGTTTGTTAAAAAATAATGTGAATTATGTAATTTTAAAATTATTTTCCGTTAAAGGAATAGACCTGTATGTTGCCCATTCAAAGACTCGCTCATAAATTGATTGAAACAAACTGTTGTCGAAATGTTTGAATATTTTTTGTTGAATTGAATATTTTTGTTTTCAGGAGGAAGAAGATAAGGATGTTAAACCGAAACTTATGAGTAAGCTTTAGTGGTCCCAATGCTGCACCCAATGGAAGATTTTCCTTTTAATAATTAGTTTTCATACAAAAAGGTTTTTAGAATGTGATTTCAGATTAAAGTCTAACCTCTGCCTGTTGTACTTCATTCCACTTCATTCATTCCTCAAATGAACTGTTTTATAATTGTATCAAATAAATCTCTAAAATGGAGACGCCATCTAATGAACAGAATTGAATTTTTTTCTCTTGAAAATTGTATGAGCTGACATTAAAGACTGACTGCTGTTATGTATATACGTAAATATATATAAGTCAAGGGTTTTGTTATTAAGTGAATTCGCTAATGACAGTCTTAAAAAATAATTTTTTTATTTGTTTGGCTTAAACTGTGTGTTTGATACTCTTATTCATGACTTTGCTTAAAGCTTATGATTCTGCTTCTGTATTTTTTTTAAAATTGTGTTTATATTGTGATAGCTTAAGCCCTCTTAGGCTGAAAACTAGGTGGCAAAGAGAAGGCTCATTTCTCCCTCATTAGTCGGCGTACGACAGACGCGTGGGGGAAGTGAGGCAAGTCTTAAGGGGTCAAGTAGAGATTTTAAAAGAAATGTTTCCTGTTTCAATGTCATTGCTTTTCTTTTACATTACGCATACTATATCGCGAACATATCATAAAAGATAGTGCATATATAGTTTTTTTAATTTATTTATTTTTTTGTATGATGTGACTTTAATTATTAATATTACTGAAGAGTTTTAAAGTTATTTACTGTTCATTATTTTAATTGAATACTAGTTTTTATTTATTTTTTTGTTGTATAATTATGTTCTATTGAAGAATAAAGAATCAAAAAATAGCTGAAATGATAAAATATGTTTAATATACATACTGTAACTGCCATGTTTCTCTGAAATAACGAAAGTTTGTGCGCAATGCTTACTGCAATCTCAGAAATGTAATATATTTTTCGTTGAACAAGCGATTTTAAAATAATGTGAATAACTATTAATACTGCTTTTGAATTTGAAACAGTTACTTAATATATATTATTTTAAATCGATTCGTTGAGTGACAATAGTTTTTTATTCTTGTATAATCATTTCCTATTGAAGAAAAAAGTAACATAAAAAAACTGAAATGATGGAAAAAATTAACTGTACATAGCAAAACTGCCAGATTTCTCTAAAATAAAGGAGGTTAGTGCGCAATGATGATCGCTCTCTTTGAATCGCAATATGTTCATTAATGAAACGATTTAACAATAATGTTAATTTAATTATTAATATTGCTTTAGAATTTTAACTAGTTATTTTCTATTCATTATTTTAACCCACTGGCGGTTAAGGAAATGGGCAAAATTGGGAGAATGTTTCTCCCCTACACACAGTTCTCCTATCAGTTAACATGGGAAAACCGGTTTTGCTATACAGAGAAGACTGCAGGTTAAAATGCGACTTTTTACGTGCAGAACCGTCAGTGGGTTAATTAATAAGTTGAGACAACATAGTAATTTTTTTTTGTAAAATTATTTACTGCTTAAAAAAAAGTTGCAAAATTTACCTGAAATGATAAAATAAATTTAATGTGCGTAACGTAACTGCCGTATTTCTCTAAAATATAGGTAATAAGTGCGCAATGCTGATCGCACTCTCAAAATCGTAACATATTTTTCGTTAATGAAGCTGTTTAACAATAATGTGAATTCAACTATTCATATATTGCTTAAGAATTTTAAACAATTAATTATTATTTTAATTGCATATATATATATATAGAGAGAGAGAGAAATAAAACAAAAATATCTAAATAACAAAATAAGTTGACAGAAAGTAATTATTAATTTGTAGGGAAATAAATGTGGCATGTGGGTAGTACTTATTTTGCGAAATTTTGTACAACAATGTATAAATAATCATTGTTAAACTCACAAAAAAGTACTTATAATTGCAATAATTTTCAAACAAATTAAAATTTCGAAGAGAAAAAAAGTCAATTTTTAGTTTACATTTGAAATTGACCCTTTCATTTTGCGCAATTTTAACAGGTATAATACGTAGCGTACAATGGATCTGGAGCCCCAAATAAGTTTAATATAAATTATAGTAAAACAAACAGTAATAGTTAAACAAAAATAGTTGGCGATAACTGAACAAAAGTGTTTTAAATATCTCTTAAAGTCAAAAGAGAAAATGTTACAAAAAATATTGTTAAGTACATATTGTAATAATAATATTGTAAATCGCCAATTTACAGGTAAATACTGTTATAACTTATATTTAAGCAAGCAAATGGAACTTAAATATTCAATATGAAGACTGAAAAAAAATGTCTTCTAATTTTTATGATATATCTGTGTGTTTGTGTGTTATATATATCACAAAATTAAACGAAATATTTACTTTGATACATAAGCTATTTTTATTATCAACGCAGCTTGTTCATTTGAAACAAAATTTTTTATTAAAAATTTAAAATTAGGATTTTTTTATAATTACCACAGAATAATAAGAAAAGAAAGCAAAAATGAAGCCTGGACATTTCCTGTTTGTGGCACATCTGGAGAAAACACATTATCTGGGGGAGATAGTAATCTTACACCTCCAAATTTTAGTACTTTCATCCACGAATCAGAAGAAAAGGCGCGAAACTTTTCCTATTCTCCTTGCTATGCGAGGGAAAAAAATTTTTGTTTATTCTGTAATATATTCTTCTAGTTTGAAAAAATGCAAGCGGAAGAAACGATAGCAGTTTTAGCTCTTTTAGTTCGCAGAAAAAGAAAAGAACGCAAATTTCAAAGATTATGGCGTCATCCTTTAACTGATAAGCGCCATATATTTGGCCATTATTACACTCTGCACAATGAGTTAAAAAACCATCCTTCAAAATTTAAAGAATTTTATCGAATGTCCAAAGAAACATTTCAGGAACTTTTGCAAATAATGGGGCCTTCAATCACATCCAAGAGCAGTTGTGCTATTCATCCAGAAGAAAAGCTTAGTGTGACTATAAGGTGAGTTTAATAATTATTATCTATTTATTATTATATATATGCTAGCAGAATTGTATAGTATTTAGATAACATTAACTAAGGATTATTAGAATGAATATTAACTAAGGATATTGTCTCATGTGATTACGGATATATTTTCTTGATCATCTGTAATAAGATTTGGGGACCAAATTCTAATAATTATTTAAGACAGTGTATGAAATTTCATTGTAATATTTTAGATAGGGCTATTTTCAAATAAAAATATCCAATAGAAACTAGTATTTGGTATTGCAGTTAATAGTATATCTCAGCTTATACATATGCATACCAAACTTGATCATTATTATTTAGAAAGGTAATTGATTGTTTCTGTTGTGGAAATTCAGCAAAATTTTTTTTTTTTTTTATATATATATATATAATTTAGTCACTCTTGAACAATGTTTATTTTATTTTTTCGAATAAAAGTAGTAATATAAATTTTATTTATTTGACTATTTTTTAAATCTTTAATTAATAAAAATTATTTCCTACATATTAAAAAAAATAACGTAACGAAAAGGAAACTGATTATTATGAATAAAAAGCAAACACCAAATCTAATTTCTTAATTTTTTCCATGAAAAAATCATGATTTTACAGTATAAACATGCATTAATAATCAAATATTCTCACTATCTTTAATAAAAAAAAAATCCTGATTTGTTGATACAAAACTAATATTGTTTAATCATATATATTTTTTTTGTAAAACTTTATATTTTTATTTAAAAATTTGTCGTTACCAAAGATAAGATTATAAGCTAGAACAGTAAAATTTGAAAGTTTGTTGTATAAGCAGTAAGTGTTAGGAGATTATTTCTCGTTTTTATATAAAAGAAAATAGTTGCTGTAAAAAATTACTTGATGATAGATACTTTCTTTTCAAAATCTTTTTAATAATGCTCACGATATTATAGAAAATATTTGTTTCACAAACATCTGTTGATAGCAAGGATATTTAAAACTTTTAGAAACATTTAGAAACAATAGTTAATTATTAAAATCTAAAATAAGTAGAAAGCGTCAATTGCAATTTCTATTTTTCTATATTAAAAAAGTTATTATATGCAAAAAAAAGTCTTAATTATACTTATTTATCTAATGAAACATATTTGATAAAAATATAAAGCATAAGAATATTAGAAAATGAAAAGATAAATGTAAATAGTTTTTCTTGAAAATAGTCATAACTCTCAACAGCAAGTCAAAATAGGAAGTTTATTTTTATTCTCTGTTTTGAAAATATTTTATCTTCATGCAATTTTTATGCAATTCATGTTTTTTTTTTTTATCGCAGTGAAACTTGAACAACATTCTTTATCTGTTTAAAAAACGAAGATAGTAAAATAGATAANTAGCTATACCAAAGAACCAAGGATTACGAATTGAAGACAAACACCAGATCTAAATGCATACTAATTTTTTAATAAAAAATATTTTGCCTTTTACAGTATATATTTCCACCAATAGTCGAATATTCTCCACTAAATGGATAATATCTTAAGAAAGCATATCAATGTTAATAAATATTAGTAAAAATTTTTAGAGTACAATATAATTTCAAAAACATTATAAACATAAATTTATTTTCATTCATTAAAATTAAAAAATAATAAAATATGAGGAAAAAACACTATTAAAAATATTACAAAATGAAGTATTATTAAATAACATCACTATTATAAAATAAAACGTCATTAAATGTCTGAAAAATGCATAAGAGGTATGAATATTGCAGAAGGTGTAACAAATGAAAATTAAATCTTAAATAAATAAAAAGAAGTAATACAGATTAAAATTTTTAAAAAAAGCTCAATTTATGTATATTGATGAATTAATGAGGTATATTACGAAAAATAATTTTTTTATAATTATTAAATAAAAATTAATTGAGGTTAAGAAAAATTAATGGGGTTTAGATAAAAAGCTAAGGAATGGGTTATTTTCGGAAGATGGAAGATTCATAGAAAAAGTGGGGACATTTGAAGAAGAGGGAAGGGTATTAGCAGAAATAAAAGGGTTTGGTGTAGAAGGCGAGAGGCAAAGGAGGCGAGAAGATCAAAGGTGCAGGTGATGTGAATCTGGTAGGTATAGGTGGAGAGGGGGAGGGAATACTTCCTGCATCCGAAGACGTGCTATTGTATATTATGTTTAGAATTTCTGATTTTAATTTTTTTCTATTGCTTAGTTTTTTAAGACTTGGAATTAATGACATCGCGAAGTGAAAGTCTTCGTCGTCAGCTTCTTTCTTAGCTTTTAACAGCTCTATAATCGCCCTTTCGAATGGTTCTATCTCCTTTCTTTTCTTTCCTTTTGAAGAAGATGGCGTTTCTATATCATTTGTGGCCTCTTCTTCGTCATTCGGAATGTTCGACATAGTTCTTGATCTCAAAACTGTTGGAACCAAAAATAGCATGCTTGAAAAGTAAGGACTTTTCTTTCTATGCCTGGCACCATCACCAGTATGATGCTCAGTTTGATCGCGAAACTCTCTTATAAAGGAATTTTTTAAGTACGTCCATCTTTTCTGGATTTCCATGCCTGTAAGAATAGCGAAAAATATATTTGGTTTAACTTTTTCTTTTTTTTTTACATAATATCAAGTCAACTAATTGTCAAATAATATATTGAAATAAATTATAATTACAATTAAAATATAAAATTTTTTACATTATTTTTATACTGAAAGAAATTAATTGTACGTAGGTATCAGTTACTTATACATACAACGTTGAATTTAACAATACCATGAAAATTCTTGTTAACGATAGGAGGTTAGTTAAGGTTCATTTAGTTCAAGAATATAGACAAAACTTGCCCTCATATTCGTAAAACACTCATAATTCAAAATTATGCTAGCTATAAATCTGTTAGTAAAATCAATAATGCGTTATGCTGCGGTTTTTGGAACATGAGATATGTTGAACAAACTAGTAACTCTCTTAATATTAGAATTAATCAACATGTTCAGATATTAACTAATAAAATTATCAATAATCAAGAACTTGATTTTAACAGAGTTAAGATTAATATTTTAGATACATTAGAAGGTATCAATTTAAGACAAGACTACAAAAAGAACATTGTTATATGCGTTTATACAAATTTTGCCTTATGAGCTAAACTATGCCTTCCAAAAGATTAAAAATGATGAGAATGCATTGTTAATCAATACGATAAAAGAAATTATTTTAAATTTAATAAAAATAAACTAATTACTTGAAATTTAATGTATCTAAAAACACATTTAAATACCATTTTTAATTTGTATAGGATAAAAAGAAAATGTGAAAAAACAGTAGACTAACTTTCCAAAATTTGATCAAAAGCAATGGATACCCAACTAAAGCAATTAATTTATTTCTAAAATCATTAAGTTAATTGAATGTTATATTTTATATTCTTTGTTTTGTATTTTTTACTCGATATGTTTTATTTTCGTTTAAATTTTTTTTTGGGTGCTCCTAACACTATTGTATTGATATACTTTGCTTCAGCTATATTCATAAAATGTTAGAAAGCATTCCTTTTTTTCTGTGTATAATCGTGTGAGCTGGTGACCAGATTATATCTTTTCATTACTTTCTTTTTCGGTTTTTTAATATATTCTTAAAAGTTTGTTAAAAAATTTTCTTTCTTTTTTTCATAACTCTTTATATTTTTTCAATATTATCTCTCTCACTCTCTCTCTCTATATATATACACATATATATATATAATGAAGGCACTGAAATTTGGTTACTCTTTTACAGGTACCTAGCCACCGGTGCAAGTTTCGGAGAGCTGTACTTTGTATTTCTGCGTGGCAAAACAACTATGAGAAAAATAGTTAGAGACACGTGTAAACATCTGTGGACTGTTTTAGCTCCCATCTTTATGGCACCTAAGACGGAAGAAGATTGGTTAGCAATAGCTGAAGAGTTTTACGAGATCACAAACTTCCCAAATTGTGTAGGTGCCATAGATGGGAAGCACATCCGAATCGAAAAGCCTGAAGGAGCAGGATCACAGTTTTTTAACTATAAGGGCTATCATTCAATTGTGTTATTGGCCCTAGCCGATGCAAAATGCCGTTTCACGGCAGTGGATGTTGGAACCTTTGGTTCCGCAAGTGATTCGGCGGTTTTTCGAGCGTCGAATTTCGACAAAAAATTGAAAGCCAAAGGTCTCAACATACCAAGTGTGGATACTCTGCCATTCGACAGAGACGGCAAAAAAATGCCTTTCGTCATTGTAGGTGATGAGGCTTTCGGTTTGTCAAAAGACGTTCTGCGGCCTTTTTCGAGGCAAAGAATTAACATCAAACAAAGAGTTTTCAACTACCGCCTTACGCGAGCCAGGAGGGTGGTTGAGTGCACATTTGGCATTTTAGCAAAAAAATTTAAAATTTTTAATAGATCCATCGATGTGGGGTTAGAGTTTGCTAATGAAATCGTAATGGCAGCATGCATTTTGCATAATTTTATAAGACATTTCGATGTGATCGAAGAAGAAATAGAATTGTCTCTTTGTTCCCTGGACAGTATTAGAGTTCAGGGAGCAAATAATACTGCCATTGGGGGGTCTGACAATATAAGGGAATATTTTGCGGAGTACTTTGTATCACCCTCTGGCTCCGTCTCTTGGCAGTATAGTAAATTATAATTAATAAATAATTAAAATATATCAAACAATAATATTTATTATTTTTGCATTACTTATACTTTTTATTACTTTCATTATTTATTTTTATTACTTTTACTTTTTTTTATTATTACTTTAATTTTATTATTATTTTCATTATTACTTTTTTATTTTTATTAGTTACATATATATTGCAGATTTTTTATTTCAAAACTTCCAAAATTTTGTTTCATTATACTGTAAGCCTCGTCACCTACAATGATATAGTTTTATTCCCGTTTCCACTTCCCTCTTTTTATAGGATCTGTAGTAAATTATGCAAATCTATTATTATGTAAATATATTATTAAATATATTATATTATGTAAATATATTATTATTATTTTGTCATGTAAATATAAATGTTCATCACCTTATTTAATGTAGCACAATATATTCTTAAGTAATGAAAAATGCTTGGTAAGACTTTGGTTCATAACAATCTTTTTGTCTTTAATAAATAAATACTGATTATAAATTAACTCAAATGACATATTTTATGATTAAGCTGGCCTTATGAAAGGACTATATATATATTTTAAAATGAAATCAATTCAAGTATGATTAAATTAATTAAACAGAAGTAAGAATTTTTTTTTTTGTTGTTGTGTTATTTCTTGACAAATACTTCTACTATTAATTATCATTCATACTGTTAATGCACACTTTATGATAGCAATGAAATATGATTTGTTCAATAGCAATTTTTTTTTTTGTAAAATATCTATCTCCACATTATATATATATAATATATATATATATATATATACAGTGGTGGCCAAAAGTGTGAAGTGTGGATACTTTTTGAAAGTTTCATGTTTTTCAACTTTGTGTGCTTGTAGAATATATTAATTTTCACTTAAATGCAAACGTTTATATATCAAATTGAAGGTAATTTAATGTAGAATTTAATAATAAATACAGTATTACAATATCTGTATTACAAAAAAAGTTATGCAACTAATAGTAAGATCTATCTTAGATTTGCATTTTTTTAAAGTGATACTTACACAATCAATACTTAGTAGGATAACCCTTATTTTTTAAGACAGCTTCACAGCGTCTTTTCATCGAGTGAACGAGTGTTTGGAGTTCATCTTTCGTAATCACATGGTGCCAAGAATCAATTATAGCTTCACTTAGTTGTCTTTTATTGGATGGACGTTTTTTTCGTACAAGAATTTTCAAACGTCGCCACAAATTTTCAATTGGATTGAGATCAGGGCTGTTTCCTGGCCATGGTAATATATCTATGCCTTTATTTTGAAAGCATGCTTTGCATACTTTTGCTGTGTGGCATGGAGCTGAATCCTGCTGAAAAATAAATGGTGCGTTGTTGGAGAAGAGATCCCTGATGGAAGGTATCAATTTTGGTTTCAGGGCAGTTTCGATGTATTTTTTGGCATTCAGGATGCCATCAATCACTTGAATTCGGCCCACACCATCTGCAGATATACATGCCCAAATCATGACATTTGTTGGATTTTTAGTAGTTGCTTCAATGCAATCAGGATGAAGCGCTTCACCTACTCTACGTCTCACGTATTTTCTACCATCACTTCCAAAGAGCGATATTTTACTCTCATCACTCCAGATTACTTGCTTCCATTGATTTTCTGACCATTTAATGTGTTCTTTTGCCGACTTAACTCGTTTTTCGCGTTGCTTTTGATTTAAATATGGTTTTTTCCTTGGAATTCTAGCTTGTAGTCCAAATCCTGATAACCTTCTTCTTATTGTTCTTGAACTTACTGCAATACCAGCTGCATTCATTTCACATCTAATGGCATCTGATGACATTTTTCTATCTTGAAGGCATAGCCATTTAATTTTTCTATCGGTAGTAGCACTTGTGCATTTTTTTCGGCCTGATTTGGCATCCTGAATGCCAAAAAATACATCGAAACTGTCCTGAAACCAAAATTGATACCTTCCATCAGGGATCTCTTCCCCAACAACGCACCATTTATTTTTCAGCAGGATTCAGCTCCATGCCACACAGCAAAAGTATGCAAAGCATGCTTTCAAAATAAAGGCATAGATATATTATCATGGCCCGGAAACAGCTCTGATCTCAATAAAATTGAAAATTTGTGGCGACGTTTGAAAATTCTTGTACGAAAAAAACGCCCATCCAATAAAAGACAACTTATTGAATCTATAATTGATTCTTGGCACCATGTGATTACGAAAGATGAACTCCAAACACTCGTTCACTCGATGAAAAAACGCTGTGAAGCTGTCTTAAAAAATAAGGGTTATCCTACTAAGTATTGATTGTGTAAGTATCACTTTAAAAAAAATGCAAATCTAAGATAGATCTGACTATTTGTTGCATAACCTTTTTTGTAATGCAGATATTGCAATACTGTATTTATTATTAAATTCTACATTAAATTACCTTCAATTTGATATATAAACGTTTGTATTTAAGTGAAAATTAATATATTCTACAAGCACAAAAAGTTGAAAAACATGAAACTTTCAAAAAGTGTCCACACTTTTGGCCACCACTGTATATATATATATATATATATATATATATTAAAATGAAATCAATTCAAGTATGATTAAATTAATTAAACAGAAGTAAGTTTCATTTTTTTTTTGTTATTGTGTTATTTCCTTGACAAATATTTCTACTATTAATTATGATTCATACTGTTAATGCACACTTTATAATATGAATAAAATATCATTTGTTTAATAGCAATTTATATATATATATATTTCAACCTGAAAACCTTTGATTTTAACTTTTTAAATAAAAAAATTCTTTGAAATCCAATTTTTTAAAATTAATTTTTTTGCACATACTTTAAAAAAATTTGCTATACTGTATGTAAAATGATAAAAAAAAAAAAACAAATGCACACATATATAAATATATTTTATAAAAAAATTATCTTACCTGTTTTAACTCTTTCTGCTGCAGATAATTGATGGAAATCAGGACACAGATGCTTGTGAATTTCCTCCCATGAATTTTTTTTCAAGTCTCTATTTTTGTAATCTGCACGAGATTTGTCATATAGATTAGGTCTATCACGCACCAGCTCAATTAAATTTTCAGCAAATTCAGAAGACTCGAAATTCATAGTTAGTTTTAAAAAATAGAGAGAATAAAATGTCGCTGAAGTTTAAACACAAATGGTTAGAAGCCTTTCAAACGGTATGGTATATATAGTTAGTTTCTAGAGTGTGTAGAAAGCTTCTCTGTCTACCAATCAGTGTTATTTTCTGCAATGGGAATCCTAAATAGGGGGGGGGGAGATGTTCACACCTGTAACACTTTAACATTAGCAAGTTGTGCCTGAAGAGAAATGCAAACAAAACTACATGAAACAATGTTCTTTGAAATACTGAAAGTGATAGAATGGGCTACACCTGGACAGGAAACAGGTCATCAGGATCCTTACTAGTTAATTATACTATGCTAGCTAGATAGGGATATTTCTTGGTAACCATTTTAAAGCATGATTAGTCAATACTAGACATTCTATGTTCACAAAGGCACAGATTGTGGGAAAATTGCATTTTAGAGATAAAATTATACTAATGGCACTTAATCTTGTATAAATGATACTTATTCTTAACATCAAACAGAATTCGAAGTTATTGACTAATCATTATTTTAATTTATAAGTTGATTAAACATAGTAATTACACGGAATCATTTCCTATTTAAAATAAGTAACAAAAATTAACTGAAATGATAAAATTCACGCAACAATTACTGTAAAAATAGATAGCGAACAATTTTCAACCAATAAGAAAGCTGATCATTTTAGAACTATTAAATTTATTTTTAAATAATAAGTAACGCTCAAATTAAAACCAAAACAGTCTTATTCCAATATATATATATATATAATTGAAAATTAAAATGCTATTGATGCTCTTAAGCGTTGGGTTTTCGCAAAAATTTATGTATTTACTTTCTTAATTTTTTAAAAATAATGTTTTTGTTTTAAATTGCTAGTTACTTATTATTTAAAAATAAATGTAATAGTTCTAAAATGATCAGTTTTCTTATTGATTGAAAATTGTTCGCGATCTATCTATCTATATATATATATATGAAATCTGAATTAACAGAGCGTAATTATTAAATTGTCTGGGGGAAATAAAGGCGGATCGTGCGCAGTGGTCAATTAATTTTGTGGCTTACAACCAGGGTTCGTTGATTTTTTTAAAAAAAAATCATTGATTTAAATCAACTGATTTTTATATATATATATTATATTGATTTTAAAAGTTAAAAAACAGTGCTTTAAATTATTGATACTTTTATTATTTTCTTTTCTTAGTTTTAAAATTTATTTTAAATAAATTACTGCATTAATTAATTTTAGTTCTTTACTTTCTTTCTTGGTGTGTGTTAAACACATTTGAAATTACATGTTTAAAAATCTTTTGATTCTTAACATTGAAAGTACAGATTAAAGTAAATATTTAATGATGTCTTAATATAGACTAGCATAGCTGTAGAAAGTAAATAAACATGATTTTTTTTCAAAAAGAAAATGTTAATTAAAATTCTACCTTTTGATTAAAAAAGCATGGAATTCAGATCTACATTATAGTTTATTGATGGAAATTTCCATATTTCTAAAGCTTGAGGTTATATTAAAAAGAAATTACCTTAATGTGCCAAAAATAGAAAAAAAAAAAGCTGAGTTCAGATATTTTTTTCCTGATATAGTGCCATTCTTCAATTTCAAAGTCTATTTGAAGCAGTAGGGTTATTAACTGGTATTTTTTTTTTCTCATATAATATGTTTACGGTATCTTTGAAATTATCAGATTTTCTTTTGTGAAAAAGATTCCAATGTGTACATAGATTTTTTTAAAATGTTTTTTAGCTTACCTTATGTATTTTGATATAGGATTAAAAATGAATATTTTAACATGAAAATATATAGATTGAACACTTATTTTTTGATGAATGACAACATTTATAAACACAATCTGTTATATTTATTTTGCCGTTTTATAAATCATGAGAAAAAAAAGAGATCACAATTTT